CAACGGGAGGGTCGAGGCAATGGAGGAGCGGCTCAACTTAGAGGGTCGAGGCAATGGAGGAGCGGCTCAACAAGAGGGTCGAGGCAATGGAGGAGCGGCTCAACGGGAGGGTCGAGGCAATGGAGGAGCGGCTCAACGAGAGGGTCGAGGCAATGGAGGAGCGGCTCAACGTGAGGGTCGAGGCAATGGAGGAGCAGCTCAACGGGAGGGTCGAGGCAATTGAGGAGCGGCTCAACGAGAGGGTCGAGGCAATGGAGGAGCGGCTCAACGGAAGGGTCGAGGCGATGGAGGAGCGGCTCAACGGGAGGGTCGAGGCAATGGAGGAGCAGCTCAACGGGAGGGTCGAGGCAATTGAGGAGCGGCTCAATGGGAGGGTCGAGGCAATGGAGGAGCGGCTCAACGAGAGGGTCGAGGCAATGGAGGAGCGGCTCAACGGGAGGGTCGAGGCAATGGAGGAGCGGCTCAACGGGAGGGTCAAGGCAATGGAGGAGCGGCTCAACGAGAGGGTCGAGGCAATGGAGGAGCGGCTCAACGAGAGGGTCAAGGCGATGGAGGAGCAGCTCAACGGGAGGGTCGAGGCAATGGAGGAGCGGCTCAATGGGAGGGTCGAGGCAATGGAGGAGCGGCTCAACGAGAGGGTCGAGGCAATGGAGGAGCGGCTCAACGGGAGGGTCGAGGCAATGGAGGAGCGGCTCAACGAGAGGGTCGAGGCAATGGAGGAGCGGCTCAACGAGAGGGTCGAGGCAATGGAGGAGCGGCTCTACCGAGAGGGTCAAGGCGATGGAGGGAGCAGCTCAACGGGAGGGTCGAGGCAATGGAGGAGCGGCTCAATGAGAGGGTCGAGGCAATGGAGGAGCGGCTCAATGGGAGGGTCGAGGCGATGGAGGTTTGAGGAGGTGGACAAAAGGTTTGAAGAGCTGGACGAAACAATGGCAGGGTTCCAAGCCGCCCAAAACACGTCAACTGATTCTCTGAATCAGCTCATTGACACCGTCAACAACGTCAACGGGCTCCTCACTGCAGCTGGCCTTGTTTCCCGTGGTGCTGGTGGCCCCCATCCTCTCCCATAACTTTTTTCAAGCATTTTTGACTCATTCACTTTGTTAACTGTCTTTCCAACCACGCTGTTCCCTTCACTAAGCCTATTCCACCCACAAGTCCTTCACTTCTTCATCCAACACTCAACTTTCCTTTTCAGCCCCTCCTCACCAGTTTCAAACCGGTTCCGCATTCATTTATGGTGTGCAAGCCCGTCTGGGCACACACCAAACTTCGGCCGAAAACAGGCCAAGCGCGCTGGGCCGATCTTAAAGCACGCTTGGCCGACTGTAAAAGCCCGCGTGGCACCCTCCCAACCCCCGCTTGGCACATGTCAAAGCTGGCGAAGGTCGGAGCAAAGCCTCGCTTGACCGAAATCAAGCGAGGGTGCCACGCCCGCCAACATGCCGGCCCCCGAGAAGGCCAGCTGCTGAGTCAGGGCCCAGTGCCGAGCTGGGGCACCTGCTACCAATCGGCCCAGGGCTTGAAATCGGCCAGCGGGACTTGGGTATGTGCCAAGTCCCGCCCCCCGCAGATTCCGGATGATCAAGCCTTCTGGGCACAAATCAAACCCCCGGTGGCTATCGGCCAAGCGGGAGTTGGGTTTGTGCCCAGACGCGCTTGCAAGACCATATGTTCCATCTACAATCATTTCCTTTGTCTCCAGCAACTCCTTGAAGTTTGTATACACATTGATACAAACCCAGAAATGGATTGCAACATGAGAATGCACTTAGAGAAAAAAAAATAGACTACATAAGAACAAACAATGAGGAATACAGTCAATGTTAAACTTTTATTACGGTCATTTGAAAACCAAATACAAAAAGAACCATTTTCTCAAAAAAAGAAGAAAATGTTGGGCCCTTGGGCTCATTTTTGCCTACAATACTGAGGCTGATAGATCTTGATGGTTTTGTCTCACTCTCAGGCACGGGACTGTGAGAAGGATGGCCAGTAGCTTTCCAAAGGATGTGATGAGATATGTACGCACAGCTGTCGTGGTGGCGGTGGCCATGATATCTCCGATCTCACCACGGGGGCACTACTGCTAAAGCTTGCTGAATCGGACGGTCAACAGGGAACAGACCAGCCAAGAACCACAACAGTCACCAGCAGAGACTTCATAGCAAACGACGATGGCCAACTCACTTCCAACAGCAGATCGATATCAACAGCAACAACAGCAACAGCAACAGCAACAACAGCAACAGCAACAGCAACAACTTGGGACTCAAAAAGAATCCACCATTCAATTCAAACCGCTCGACTCAACCGAGCAACCCAAACGAGTTCGGCAGAGAACTTTAAGAGCATGCGATAGTTGTAGGAAGATGAAAGTACGTGATCGATTGACTTGAAAATTCAACAAAAAAAAAACAACAGAAATTCGTCAGTTCAGCGGCTGAAATAATATTCTGGTCCGCAGATCAAATGTATGATGAACTCAGACGAACCTCCTTGTGAAGCATGCAAACTCACCTCGAGGGACTGCAAATTCGAACATGTTGGTGTCAAACGAGAGAAACCTCCTTCTGTTCGGTACTCCCTTCTTGCCATGAACCACTTGATTCTATCCCAGAACAGAGATATTGACATCAGAGCTTTTTTTTAGGGAAGTTGAGCAGCTAAAACGTAAAATTGCTCAACTTGAAGCTGTCTTAATCAGATTGAGACCTCAGATCGACCTGAGCTTATTGCCGAGAACGAACGACCAGGCTAAAACTATGGGCCAATGCCCTACAAGATACCTCGACTACTCATCAATCTGAAAAGATGCGATGATGACTGCAGCATGCTCTCAACCTACTTCGAATTCGTCACCTTATCCTCGATCGTACACGAGCTCGAGTTAGAAAAGATTATCGAGCCGGATTGGCCAAGCGAAATACTGAATTTCAATCACTCTGTTATGCTATCTTTGCAGCTGCTTCGCCATACCTTGATGATCCAAGAGTACTTTATACCTCCCATTCCGATGGCCTCCATCCTCGTCAATCTGCTGGCGCCATCTTTGCTCACGCTAGTATTGTTGGAGCCACTAAATTCCAAACTGTTAATTTAGTTGGCTTACAATCCTTAGCCATCATATCTTACTACATGCTCGCAATGTCCAATCCTCGTCACACGTTTGCCTTGGTAGTTGAATTTCTCAGAACAGGTTTGTAAATTCGTCTATCACGCACCAGATTCTCATTCCCTTGGATGTTTGGGTTTTCTGTCTCTAACTAACCCAACATACCATTATCATCTCGACCATCGTCCACCAACAATTCTTCCAGCTGTCACCTCTGGAGCTCATCTCGAAGAATCGGCTCGTTGGAATACCTCGTTTTTAAACAACCAATTGAGAAAGCGGGCCTTCTTTGCATTGATTACAGTCGAGAAAAACACAACATCTTCTCTTGGATATGTAAACGTACTCCAATCTTTCTGTAACCTGGTCTGTAAGTTCAAAAGAACGAAAAAATTGAGACTCGCTCATCCAGAGGATCTAACTGGTCCTCCATTCATTCATCTATTCTGACTTAATTTTCTGCCAGCTCCTCCAATTTTCGTAGAGGATGCTACCATGAGTCTGCTAGATAAACAAGATGGGATGCAACCCACGCCAGAAGCACGCAAACAATTTAGAGAGCAGCTATACTCGAGACCCCAGACACCCGGAGAAGCAGCGTTCAATTCTCTGTGGTCGGTCAGAAATAAATTGGAATCGAAAAGTCGCAACATGATCTTGAATCAATTGAAGGCCCAATCATCTCCATCAGCTCAAACCACTTCATCATCAACTACGACTCAGGACGATCCAAATTCCAAAACTAAGAATAACCGTCATCTGTTTATCCTCAACTTTGGAACGGCTCTATGGGAATTTATCGAGAATGAAATGAATCCCATGGGACGATGGAATCCATCTCTGACGTCTAAGCGAGACTTGTTCGCCACTTCCTATTGTGCTTGGTAAGCATTTACGTTCTCTGAAATACAAAACGTCCCAAGCCAGAATGCTCAATCAGCTTGATACTATACACTCACTTTTACAAATCATGCAACGAAGCTTGCTTTGGAGCATCCTGATCCGAGTTAATCTTGAAGCTGTTTCAGTCTATCCAGAACTAGTTCACCGCTGCCTCCAAGCTGCTTCATCCATCTTGGATACCTTGGAGGACATGAAAGTTCTTGGTCACTTGGACCTTCTTCGAGGAGACATTCCATATTTTGTTAGTCTTTCTTACCCTTCCATATGATTTCACTAGCTTTCCATCTTTCGTTTTACTGACGTTCTGGAGCTCTTTAACATTCATTTGTTCAGCTTGCCCCAGTCGGATTGTTCTTTCTGTGGGCTATCAGTCAGGACAATAACCCGCTTGTTACCGCCGATTTCAAAGCTAATGCCTGGGTCAGGATCACCAAATGTGTCGAAATCCTAAACATTCCAGCCCCAGTGTAAGCAAAGATGACTTCAACAACAGTTTTTTTTTTTTCCTTGGGAAAATAAAACCATGCTGAGTTTTACGTTTTACAGATCATTTGTCTCCGAAAAACTCTCACTGAAATTTACGGCATACATGAACCATTTGAAAGAGGAAATTCACAACCCTAGCCTGGATCCTGGCACTTCGACGAATATTTCTAAAAAACGCCCGATCAGTGAAATTATGGCCAAAAAAGTCGAACAACCAACCATCTCCAATTTGCTGTTCTCACAACACGCCTCACCAGCTAACTCAGACTCTTATGTGGACCCAGTGCAAGCACCGCCATCATATGCCGATTTCAATTTTTCAGATTTCATGAGCACTACCGGAACTTCACAATTTCCAAGCTGGAACTATGATGCAAACCCCCCAGTGGCAGCAACTGGAAATCCAAATCCAAATAATCAACAGAATCCTTACGATCCATCTTCTTATTCACATCTTCAATTACAAAACCTTTTACTTCAATCAGGAAATGTACCGCAACAACCTTTAAACTACAATGCTCCGAATATACCACTGTCGACCAACCGCCCTCAACAGTTCAATCCGGAAGGATCAACAAATTCATCCTTGCATGAAGGATCAGATCCTTCACACCTCCGATCGACGTTCCCGTCGTCCACATCTTCCATTCCTCCGGAAGTCACCAAAGACCAGCAAATTTATTCCGGAATCAATAATGATGGGCTGACGCCGACGAGTAGTGGTACGAATTATATCAAGACGGCTGGAAATTTTGTGAACAACCAAAGCTTCGATCGAAATCTCTTTACCGTTGGCAATGCTAGTAACAAGAACTCAGACAGCAGCTTTCCATTTAACTCGAATTTCATTCCGATGAATTTCAGTAACCCTGCAGATGAGATTTTCAATCCACCCCAACGACTTGCATCAATAAATCACCCGGATCCAAACTTCCTGAATCCGACTCACCCGATCGTTCCAAATCAAGCATACAATTTACCATCTTCACGGCCGCCAGAAGCGAATGCTTACCCGAACTTCATTCCGCAAAATCCAGTTTTCAATCACAGCAGCTCGACCAACTTTACTAATCACAAACCAGCTATGACTCCGAAGTCGTATCCTAGTCACTCGCACTCCCAATCGTTAAACTTTCATCCATCTGCAGGCCCCTCGACCCAAAAAGTCTCTCACATAAATAATCAAACCTTTTCTAAGGCCCAGCCGTTTCCTCCTCATCCTGCATCATCCACGTCCGCCTCGTTTTCTGATATCACCTTCGACGTAGCTCCTCCGTTCGAATTCGAAACGCAAATCGATCCAAATCAGAAGATGTTTGTCAGCCCATACCAGATCAACAATGATACTGGCACTAGTAGTGGTAATGATAATAACTATAGGAGAAGGTTCGCTGAGGGATCGTCCAGCCTGGGTCCATTGACAAATCTCCCACCCGCCGGAGTCCCTCCTCAACCTGTTCCATTCAATGGATCAGCCAACCTGAGCGACGGTCTTCAGACTGATGACCAGCAGATGTTCTCGGCCATCTGCGACACTTGGCTCTGTATGTCCCTTTCCTCGTCATTTTTTTTTTCTTTCTTTTCCTTTTGTTGGTTGAACGACTGGAATCAAATACTAACTTCTACTGCCTCATTCTCTCTCTCTTTTCCGTGTTTGTCCTTAGTCTGAGTTTTTTTCCCTCCCTCGTAATTAGCATTATTCAGCATTATTATTAGCATTTTCATCTCGCAATCACTTTCTGTTTTTGTATTGATTTATATATATGCAATGTTTGATGATTTGTATACATACCCTATCTGTTGCCATACCTTAAGCAAGCATAGCTCACATGTGGAAAGAAATACCAGACTTTGGACTGCAGAATTTTTGCGTATTTTATCTTTCTTTTCAACCTGTCTTTTTGCATCCACATCATATGATCCTCAAAGGGAAGGATCAGATATCTATGGACCCTCACAACAACACACACATACATGTTTATCTATCTTATGACTATATATATATCTATGTATATATTTTCTCTGTAATCTGAATCACTTCACAATTGTCTCTCACATGAAGACCTGTTTTAATGTACTGTACAGCTATTCTGAGAAAGGTTGTCCAATCCAAAAAAAAATTCCTCCTCAAAAAATCTTTTCTTTTGCTCTACACATGTGCATAAATCACATCAACTCAATAGTAATCAACTGACTCGAGGACACCCACCTCACAGCGTGGGATTATGTCATGCAAGGCTCAAAAACTGGCTCCAAGCTAGTTGAATTCTTGTGGATTTGTCAAAGCTTATGCATAGGGAGCACAAGATTTAAATTTTGACCAGGAAGAAATTTTTTGTTGGACATGGACAACCTTTTCCAAACTAGCTGTATTATTCAAGTTTTCTGTAAGCTTTTCAAGGCATTATGTTGTGTATGCATGGTCTGTTTTTTTCAATTCCTGGGTAGACTTGGGTGATCTGGTACAATTGATTACAAGTTATAATATGGTAGATTGCTGAAAATCAACCTCCAAAAACAACAATCTCTGGGTTCCAAAGGAAAACAAAAATCAGCTGCATGGGCCTAAAAAATGTATACTTGGTTAAACCATGTGTGTTTCTGAAGGTGCCGTAGAGAATGGAGGACTTCCCGTCAACATCTGCGGGTCTCCCAGACCCGGTTTAGAGCCTCAAAATTCAAATTTCTCTGCGAGAATCAAGAATTTTTGGGTCTAGATCGACTTCTGCAAGGGTCCCAGATCCGACGGGAAGTCCTCCAATAGGAGGGTAATCTACATACATCTAACTAAATAAATAGGCTTAGAGAGCCAAACAAACTCTCATGCAATCTAACACCAGTGTCAACCTCCAATTCACATTTGTTGAAGCCAACATTATACCAACACAGACAGGTGTGCAACTCAAGCAAAACCCAAAATGTCATTGAGTTAAACCCCCAAGAAAAAAAAATTGAGGCAAATAAAATTACTAACCAAAACTCCCTAAAATTGGGGGTATGTACTATCAGATAAGTATGTGAACCTATTCAGAAAGGAAATGGAATTGGAAAGGTAATAATAATAGGTTGGAGATAGTGGACATCTATTTGATGAAAGAGAGAGATTGCGTGGGAAGGCATCAAGAGGATGATGCTACTCTTCACTCCTAATGTGAACTAAAGCTCATCTGGTTGCCCAGACAATCTCATTATCCTCTTGATCATTGTAGTCTGTGATAATACCCCATCTTCCCACAAAAAGCTTTTTAGAGTTTATGTGTGTTGGAATAGAAGTTTGGGAGGTCTATAATTTTCATTACTAGGTGATATAAATCATTCATACAGACTAACTACAACAACAGCAACATGTGTTGCAATCAAGTACTTTGACCATGTCTCAACAGGGGAGATCTACACTGCCTTGTTGTTTCTGGCACCCATTTTGGATCTTGCAGAGTCGCCAAAATGGTAAGCTCTATTAATGGAGGTGAAAATAAAAAGATCAAAAATAATTATGTCAAATGAAGCCTTTAAGGAGAGTGTGGAAAATCAGGCTCAAGAAAAGGCCCTGTGGCCTGATGTCTTCCAAAGAAAGAATCAATTTTGCATAAATTGCATCCTGAATGGGATGTTTCTACTGATGAAGTACTGAAAGTCTAGTACTACAAAGAATCAATGATTCATATAGCTTCAACTCTCTACTTCAATCACACCTTGCTGGTGTAATGGCAATCCTAGCCCACTGTGTTTTAGAAGTTTTTTGAAACATTGCAGGTCCTCAGATCAAACCTCAAACCAAGCAGTTCCAATCGCCTGTCCGCAGCACATCTGCACTACCATGAAGAACCTCACTCTGACTTCCCATCTAGGGATTGCCTTTGCCCTGGTCATGTGCATCCTGGTTTCTGCCCCCCGTAAACCCGGTAGCTTCATTGGCCCACGAGAAATCAGAGCCCGGAAGTGTCATAACTGTGCCACACAGTGCCTCCAGCAAGGGCGGGTGGCTACACAGGAGCAAACCCTCAAGCTCAAAGTTGACCCTGGAAACCCAAGTGGAGAGGCCATTCTTCAGCCTTGTTGGGGAAAAAATCCAGTGTGTGAATCAAAAATAAAAACCAAAACGTTGCACTGTAATGTGTGCAACTTCTCTGCACAGATAGCACTAGAAATTTGCCCAATACATAAAGCACTTGATGAGAAATACTTTCAAGACCCCCCTCCTGAATCCTCAGGCTCTTGAAGAATAAAATATAGGGGATATATGCATGCATCATAGCACATGCACCCCTGCAGGAATAATTTTTATTCTTGAAAAAATGTTGAATTTTTGGGCTAATGTGGGAAAGAAAAGAGAAAAGTGATAAAAGGGTCCAATATGGGCAATGTTCCTTTTTGGGAGAGGCTCAAAGAGAAGGAGTGAAAGAACCAATAATGTTTATTCCTTTAAGCTAGACTAGATTAAATAGATTGAAAAAAGGTGGAAAATGTGGTTGTGAGAAATGAATAACAAACCCATATTGAATAAAGAACTGAGTGGAAGAAACATGAGTCTTTGGAAGAAACAAACTGGACAAGGCCTCTCAATTTCTTCTAGTCAAGCCAGATGAGTTAATCAAGAAAAACATGGTATAATCCACAAATATTTAGAGCTGTTAATTCAAAGTAATCAGACTTTGATAGATTCAAACAGATAATCAGGAAAAACAAGAATTCACCGTAGAGACATGAGTAGTTGAGAGGGTTCATATTTGACTCAGAAGGGAGCTTAAAACAACCAAAAACAAGCTACTTGGTGGATATATTCTGGTCTGATTTATGATGACTAGAAAAGGAGGAAGGGGCAGAGAGAGAAAGATTGAGGAAAATTCAACAAAAATCAGATGAAATCTGAGAGGTCTTTGATCTTTTGCTGTTACAAGCCTGTGCTTTGGGCCTGTTGTTATGACCAGGCTGGTACTATTTTTTTAGAACTCACAGAGCTTGATTTTTCTGACAGGCTGGTAAAACAGTGAGGTGCATTTTTGAACAGTGGGTTCCACTAAATCAAACACTTCAAAATAATCCCAAAAATGCTTGAAGATGGTTTAATTTTGCAAGTGGTTCCAATCAAACTCCAAGCACAGCAAGTGTGGAGGAAAGCACAGGAAATGAGACTGTCAAGAGTTGGCTAGCATTTATTTTTTTTAGTACCATTGAAGTGGATATTCCTCTTTTCTTTTTTCAATTGAAACTTCCCTCTTATTTTGTTCAGTTGAACCGCCACAATAGCTTATCAGACAAAAATCAAGAGTAGCAACAACCAGTACACCTTGCTGGCAAAGTGGTAATTCAACCCCATTAAGAGCCCACCGTGTTTCAGAAATTGTTAGAAAGCTTGTAGATCATCGGATCAAACCTCAAAGCAAACAGTTTCCACTGCCCCCCTGTGCACCTGAAGAACCATGCAAAACCTCACTTTGACAACCCGTCTAGGCCTTGCCTTAGCCCTTCTCATGTGCATCCTGGTTGCTGCCCCTTGTTCCAGTAAACCCTTTGGCCAGAGAGAAATTAGGGCCCGGATTTGTAATAAATGTGCTGAAAAGTACCTCAATGAAGGCCAAGTGCTAAAGGAAAAGACCCTCAAACTGGCCATTGATCCCACAAAACCGGATGAAGAGGAAATTAAGAAGCCTTGCTGGGGGACTGGACATGTCTGCACTTCAATGCTACGTGTCAAGCTCTTACAATGCAATCAGTGCCACTCTTTCGCATGGTCAGCTCAAGAATTATGCTCAGTTCATGGTCCACTTGATGACCAATATTTCCATGACCCCCCTGCTAGCTCATCAAATCCCTAGAGGTTAAAAACAAAAGGGGAAACATTCATGTATGAACTCAAAGTACATGCCCCCAGAGGAAATAATTTTTTATCCTTGCAACACTAAAAGGAATTTGAGATTGGGGGACTTCTTGTTAAATCTGGGACCATCAAGGATGTCGATTTGGACCCAAAAAGTCTTGATTTTTGATGGGAAATCTAGCTTTGAATGCTCTAAACTGTTCTGGGAGACATGCATATCTTGATGGTGAGTTGTTCATTGCACCTGTATTGAATATTAAAGGGCCAAGAAGCCTGCTTTTACCTGTGTACTATTCCTTCTTCCACATGTATTTCCATAGTTATCATCCAAAATTCAAGGACTATTGATCCACTTCTTATCCAAGTCAGCCAAAAATGTATTTCTTTTCAATGGGGGTATAGAATTTTACAAGTGTTTTTTCACAAGGCTTAAGCCTTGTCATTCTGAATCCTCGTAAAAATAATCCATGAAGTCAAGCCAGTTAATTTTACAAGGCACCCCACACTGCATCCCCCTTGTAAACAGAAGCCTTGGAAAAAATTCATTGTAAAACCCCATGATTAAACTGTGTAAGAGGATTTTTCCATGGCATATCTCACAAGGGATAAGCCCTTCAAATCAAAAACACTTGCAAAAACACCCAACCTATTACCCAAAGACAAAAAAACAAGGCCTTCCACCACAAGGCTTGGCCATGTAAAAAAAGATGGGTGCAAAAAACAAGTTCAAACAAGCTAGAATGAATTTTACAAGTCATCTGTCCAATTTTACATGGCTTTTTTCCACCTATTTCCCATTTTTGGTGACACGCTTGCTCCTCCGAGAACCAATCCCATTCAACTTTCCGGTCAGCTCTCCAGCACCTGAAGTAGCAGCTTCCTTATCCTCCTTAGGTGCTGATGGTGTTGACCATTTTATCTTCAGCTTAAGCTTCTTCTGGCTGACGGTTGTGGTTTCCGGGTTGATGACCATATCACTTCCGGCAGCTACTACAAGGTATCAAACACAGCCGAGTTTCATCAGCAACCCAAAAGCCAATGAAAAAGCAAAGTGAATTGCTTACCTGGAGTGCCACCCTGAGAACTGGTTGGTTTGTAGTCTATAGTCGCGGGCAACGGGGATGCAACTGGCTTGTCCGGGACTTTGGGATGCTTGTCAAGCTGTGAAATCGGCTGGTCGGTTATGATAGACTCCACCAAGTTGGGCTTGTTGGTGATGATGGACTCCTCCAAGTTGGGCTTGTCGGTTTTGATAGACTCCAGCAAGTTGGAGAGTCCCTCAAAAGCCAGATGACCAGTCGCATGGGGATAATCCTTGTGGATTTTATCCATCATCTCATCGACATATTCCTTTTCAGGCCCGGTCCAGCAGCGGGAGTACATCAGCCAACTGGTGTGAGGAGCAGGCCCACTGAGCTTACTGGGATCCACGTTTACCAAGCGAGCATACCCATCGTTTTGAAGATCGTTGTGAAGCCATACACCTACCATCCCCCCGACGCTTTTGAGCACCTTGCTCCAGTAGTGGCTGCCATTCCAATAACCACGCGCAAAGAGGCTATACTTCTGATTTGAGACAAAAAGAGACATTGGCCAGTCGGTAGTTGCCATGAAAAGCTGTTGTTCATCGTTGTCGATGATTGGCGCCACATCCAGGAAGAAGTAAAGGTGAGGCGGGGCTTTGCCGAATGGGACCACAAGGGTTGAGGACTCCTTGTACAAGCCCTTGACGCTAGAATCGACCTGAGAGGTGCTCATTTCAACATCGGACGCCACTGGCACAAATGATTGGTGCCTGATCACCTGCTCAGCAAGACAACTCTTGCATGTCAACCCGGATAAACCTTGCAGTGAGGTTGAATTCCATTTTCTCAACAGCTGAGTGACGTTTGCATGAGGGATCTGATTGTCGTCAAACATTTCACGCCGTATATTGATTGTGTGCACCACTCGAGTGAGATTCTTTGTTTCACCAGGATGACTCTGACAGGTCAACACACGTTTTTCCTCCAGATCAAATAGGCCCTTGAGGGCTCGATTCGGGTTGGCCTTTGGATCCAACAACATCTCAATAAAGAGATCTGCTGACGCAAATTCACCTTCGACAAAGCTACCGGGAGATCGATTCTGAGCCTGGGTGAACAACGACGTTTGGGCCTTGGTAAGTGCCCCCCGAATGCTTCCTGCTTGTGTTAGCTCGTAAGTTGTCCGTGCAGAAAAATGTTTCACCAGAGAAGTGAACAGTGAGGTGCCCTTCCCGCTGGATCCCCGATGCCAAAGTGGACTGTACAGAGCGTACAGAGTTTCTAAAGCTGCCGCCATCCAGCAGCGATTGGCCAAATGCCGTTGGGTAGACGCTCGATATGAAGGGTAGGTTGAGAATGGGTTCCGATCGATGTTAACCGAACCGGAGGGTCTGCCAAGCTTCTTCTTGGCCAGTTCTGGGAGGAGGCCATCGGTTGTATCAGGGGGCCTTCCATCATTCACCGAGGCATGTCGAACCTTCTCGTCAACAGCCGGCTTGGCTGGGTTGGGAGCTCGTTTCCGCTTCTTCTCCCAACCAAGTGATTGCGAGATGTCATCAATCCCCTTGCGGGCGGAACCGTATTCGATTGATACACCTCGCATCACGGCATCAAAGTCCTCCTCAAGGACTTTGATGAACGAGTACAGCTGGACCATGCCCAGCATTAGGGAAGTCTTTCCTTCCCTGAACAGTTTCACAAACGAGCATGTCAGCCCCACGAGATATCAACTGGGATATCAACCGGGTAAGAGAACGGTGAGCAAAATCACGACAGCATGTAGTACAACCGATGAAGACTCTCCTGTGCATTCGTCGTCTTTGTCGGTCGGTCCTGCCCATCAGGAGTGTCTTCTAATAGCGGACGGCGGGAAGGGAAGAGCATGGCCTCCACGTCGGCCATGGTCCACCAATCTAGCCACCGTTTTGCCTTTGGGAAACGCCTACGCAGGGCATCGATCTGCTCCTCGTGGGTGGGATCGCCTTCAACCGGCTTTTTGATCAGATCCATGCACATGGTCTGGAAAGTAGACTGCGGACAGGGGATTCAGTACATCTTTGAGATGAGGAACAAGAAAGGGGTCACTTGATTGCTTACCTCTTCATCAGCCATAACAACATGGCGGTTTTTCTTCACTCGGCTTACTTGTGCACGGTAGTGTTCATGACACCCTTGCAGCTTATCAAGCACTACCTTCTTCTCGCAAACCCCAAAAACCTCCCAGTAAGCCGCCACAAACCCCTCACGCTGAGCCGCCGAGAAGTCAACAATGTTGCAAACAAGTATGTCTCTTTCAGCTTTGGTGAAATCCGGACGTAAGAACTGGCGGAATAATGTTGCAAAGTGACGCTCGTAATACTTCTCGGCCAAGCCTCGGATCCAGGTGAGCTGGATGGGAACCCATCTAGCTAGTTCTTCACAGTACATTGAGGTGGATAGCAAATACCCATTTCGAAAGAATCGATAGGTAACATCAGACACAAGCCCCGTGCTATAAACCAGATTATCAATATTCCGCGCCAAGAGGCGCTTCTGCATCCAATCAGACTGGAACGTAAAGTGCTCCTCGCCTTCCAAGTATGAAGATGAGATGATAAGCATCCCACGTCTGCAAAACCAGGAATCACCAGAGGAGGTTAGTTTGGCACAAGATGTCCTGCTTCCTGGGGGGTGACTACTTACTTGACCCATTTGAATAAGTCTGTTATGAACTTATCATCAACCTCACCACTAATATTGTCAGGTGTAATGTTCAACTCTTTGAGCATCAGCTTGCGATAATAACGCAATCGATCCGCATTGCCTAGGGACGGGTGGATATCCAAGACGCTCTCGTAAGAGTCCTTTGATGCATTTGGCTTCCTGATCTGCAATACAAGATCACATTAATCAAAATTGGCCGCGCAGTTGATTTGAGCAATGATTCATCTTACCCTGAGAGCAAAGGCACCGGCCTTGGGATTCGATGCAATCACACTCTTCAGAGCGTCCCTTGCAAGTTGGTCAGGCTTCTTTGCCTCCGGCCAAGGGTGATCATGTATACCTCTGTGACGTAGAACAGCCCAGGTCGTAGCAACATGCTCATCGACCCGGACGAGTGTTTGCTTGCATGGAATGTGCACAACCGTCCCTAGACACGTTCCACGAGCGCCTCGACAGTGAGAGTTTCTAATCAAGCGGATGTAAGCAGTCGGAGATGCACGTTAGCCTTTGCCGACATGAAAACAAATAAGAAAATAAGAACTGCCGACTTTTCCAACCACTCCGACATTACAACCCGACCGGTTGGAGGAGCCCCAGCCCACCGACAGCCAGGCAAGTCGCAGGACAGGACCCCCAAGCAATAGATCCGCTTCAGCTTCCAGGCACCTTTTGAGCGGTACTCGGTCCCGGTTCGCTTGGAAAACCCGACATTGCCGAAGTTAGAGATGTTTGCACCCGGTGGTCTCACATACACCGTGTTTCCATTGGGGAGTATTGGATAACCCTGTGGATCCATGACGCAGTTGTGGTTGATGAACGTTTCTTCATTCATTGTTGGCAAAAAGAAAGTCTTATCGTTTTGCCCCGCGGACTCGGTGTCAAGCCGTTCTTTGTTGACTTTAGGCTTGCCTCGTGAGAGTCGGATTGAGACCTTGGCTGTTTCTTCTGGGCCAGACTGGCAGTCAGAAGACCCGAAATCCTCATCTAACTGCCACTTGGCATCTTCTCCAAATCGGGGTGGATCCATGTTGTTTGATTGGCGTTATACCGGTGTGAAATTTATGATATATAGTTTGATCGGAAGGGAGGTATGAGAGGCAGATGTAAGTGGGAAGAAACAAAACTGATGCCTTGGAAAACCGGGCTGAGACACATGGAAAATTCTGACCCAACAGCCGATTCTGGTATTTGACCACCGTTCACTCATACAGGGCTTTAGCCTGTAACAACCCAGCCTTGTATTTTTCAAAACCACACAGGGGTAGCTGTATTTTGACCAGGTACCTTTGCCGACGGTGTAAGCTATGCACTGTAACATTTGTGTTTCATCTTGACCGGAGGCGGTTTTCATAGTATTATTTTACAAGGCTCCGGCTTCCAAGGCTACCCTTGCCAGAGAAGCCTTGTAAAAATCACCCTACACCCCGCACCTTATACTTTTACCAGGCATCGATCTCACAAGGCTTATGCCCCGCAAAAAATCCCTTGCGAAATTCTCCCACCCGCTTTTCAATCAATTTGATCTATACTTTCACTTTGCTAGAGATTTGATTGCATGAAAAATTGTAAAAATTCAGTAGCAGTGTTCAAAATTGATTTTGTAAGCCACATTTAACCTAAAATCATAAAATTTTCAAGCTTTGAGAAAAGTCCCAAATAGAGAGAAATCTGAAATTTGATGTTTTGGACATTTAGGGTTTATCCTTCCAGGTGGAAAGTGGTTTAATACTCAATTTTTAACACCCTACACACAAATAAAAGCAATTTTTCTCTCACCAAAGCAGTCAGGTGCAAAAAGATTATCAAGGAATTTTAATTTAGAACTGGTCAAAGGCTCATGGATTGAAAGACAATAGGAGGTTCACGGGTTGATTTTTGAACAAAATTCTACACAACATCATGAATTTCACAGAAGTTTTGATAAGTGTTCCAAACAAAGAGAAATGAGAAACTCAGGTCAATTTCATAATTTTACATTGTGAATTTTATGTACAATTGCAGTCACTGAAACCCTTCTGCTTGGACGAGGTAAATGTACCTCGTCCATCGGAAGGAAACCCTTCCGCTGGACAACATGTACCTTGGCTCACCGTCTCGTTTCCCCAGACTTCTCCCACATAAGCCTTGCTCACTTCAGATAGGCTTTGATCTGTATTTCCTAGCGCAGAATTGATTGGGACAGTCTTGGTTATACCTCGTCCAGCGGAAGGAAAGCCTTCCGCTGGACTGTAGACCAGCGAGCCGGGAGGGGTTCCTCCCGGCTGTGTGACCTTGGCCTCTCTAGGCCGAGGGGAAAAAAAAAGAAAGAAGAAAAAAAAAAAAAAAAAAGAGTCCCATAGGACCCATGCCTGGGTCCTATGGGACAGCCCAGGTCCTAAACGCATATAAATATGCGTTTAGGACCTAAAGTTGGGTGTGCACGCAGGCACGCCAACCTGCAGGGTATACCCCTGCAGGCAAATGGCTTGCCTGCCTGCACGCCATTCTGCAATGGCGTGCAGGCGCGCACGCCAATCTGCAGTTGGCGTGCAGATTGGCGTACGCGTGGGGGGTTGGCTTGCACTTATCAACCCCCTGAAAATAGTGCGCTGAAACTTGCAAATTTTTCCTCCCCAATCCAAAAGCAAAAAGCAAAGCGCCCGACCCACTGCTGTTAGCGTAGCAAAGTGGGTCCAATATCACTACGCTGTCCGCTTCTGCGAGCGTAGCTGTTGTGGTGTTGGCGCGAGTTGGGAATTTGGGCACTTGGGTAGTCCCCAACGGTGGAGATGGTCTAAGGAAATTTAACTTACTCATCAATAGAGTCCCCACCACATCCATATGCTAACATCCGCATGGCTGAAGTGCCTTTTTGAAGAGCCAAAAACCTAAGCCTTCCAGCTGCGTCTTGCTTTTGTTGGAAGTATCAATCGGCTGTTTCAATATCTTCAACAATTTTGAGGAAAAGACTCCTGCGCATCCTGAATTGGCGATGGAAGAGGTAGTTGGGATAAACACAGTCCTTGGCAAAGTAATTGTTGTAAAGTTGCTGGTGTCCTTGAAGGTGATTCCGGTAAATTTCCCTTCTTCCAGGTGTTGAACCACCACGTTCCTTTTTTGGTTTGTCTTGAGAATTAAGGCCATTGTTGTTTGAAGGGAGGCAAGAACATCATCATTGTCGTCCAGCCATTGGAGGAGGTTGTCCATGGTATTGGTGATGCAAAACAAGGATGGTCGGTGAGTCTAGAGAATTCACTCGGATTGCTGCTCAATTAAGTGCCAGTCCATAATTGGAGCTGGCCCGCAACTCTTGTGAAATGTGGTCGCTGCCTGGGGAACACAAGTCAACTGCCCCCGGACCGTTAGAGATGTTGGAATTTCACCTCTTTTTCTTCTCATCCCTAAAAAACTCATCTATCTCACTGTTAAATTAAATAGGAATTGATAAATAATTTACATGATTTTTACTTTGTTTTTGATAGTTTCTGCGTGATATTTTGTTAAGTTGTCTAGTGCTGAAATCCTTGTAGTCTTCGAACCCTGGTCTAGTCTTTATCAACCTACACTTATTCCAGTCATCTTTTCAAGCATATGTTAATCTGTCTTATTCATTTTGATATTCATTTTTCTCAACCACATGTTTGACCTCTTGTATGTAGACTATTTAACGCGTAGTCTCCTCTAAGTAAAAAACACATTGGCTCTCTCATTCTTTTCCCGACCCTTGAGTCAGTCCAACAAAATTCATTCTTGTTGCCCCCAAAAATTCTCCACGTCTTCGGTCTAAATTTCTTCAGGAGATGCTCTAAGACCTGGTGTGGAAACCTCTCTTAGGAAGAGTGTTTCATAGCCTGTATCCTGACAGGAGTCTGGGACAAAACTTATCCAGCGGTGGGCCGCTACGGGCCCATGTAGTGTTAGCGTACACCATTTTTTTCAGTGCGCCGCTACGGCCGCTGTAAGCTAATTTGTAGCGGCGCTAACACTAACCATTTTTTGGTGTAGTGTTAGCGTGCCGCTGGCGCCGCTACGCTACAGTGTTTTTAGTGGCAAAAAACACCTCAAAACTGCTAAAAATCACTGTAACACAGCGTAGCGGGCAGTTTTTGGCGGCCTGTGCGTGTAGTGTTAGTGCAGATGGGGGGAATCACGCTAACGCTACGCTAAAAGTTAGCGCAAGTTTTCTCCCCATGCGCGTAGCGTTAGCGCAAAAAATGAAAAAAGTCCTAACGCTACGCTAAATTGTAGCAAAAAATTGCTACACTACGCTACGGTTAGCATAGCTGGCCCACCGTTGACTTAGCTCCTGAAGCAGAGAGAAAAATGCCTTGCTGTTTCAAAGCTGTGTGAGGGGGGGTGGATCGCGCTACACCACCATCTCCTTGTCTAGAGTGGGCAGGCGGACTGAAAAAACTTTCAGCAGCCAATAGTGTGGCTAGCAGGTATGGCAAGAGGCAAGGCTGAGTGGTGAGGAGTCTAGGGAGGAGGACAGAGAGGCTGTTCCTCTACTGTTCTCTGGGCTAGTGCCTGAGACCATCTCCACCGCAAGTTGCTATCCGAGCTGCCAAATCTGAAAGTTTGGCAACTGCGGCGCATTTTTAGCAGCTTGCGTCAAGTTGGTTTTGCACCGGAAGTTGCTATAATAGCAACTGGGGAATGTGACAGGTCCCCCCCCCCCCCCCGGGGCAGCATAGACTGCACTCCTTATTGTATTTACCTCTTTCTCTATAGCGGCCGGCCGGTACCGACCAAGGAGAGACTACACTATCCGGTGACCGGTACCTTCCATAGGGATTGTACACTGGTAAGGGTCACTTCTCTGGTGATCTCTAACCGGTATCGGTCCTCAAGAGTATTGACTCTCGTGTGACCGATACGATTTGAGATTCCTATTCACTTGTTTTGAACCGGTATCGGTCATCGGAGAGGGTAAACTCTCTAGTGACTGATACCGATTCTTGGGATCGTACATCCACGATGACCGGTGCCGATCTTTGAGAGTGTACATCCTCTAGTGACCGGTACCGGCCATTGAGTGTACACTTTCGAGTGATCTGGGCATTGGGTGTTGAGTTGTTTCGGGGGCGATGGGGAAAGGTGAGCAGGAGAATCACAAGAAAAACTTGTGATACTCGCGAGGTTGAGCTGCTATCCTGATGCCAAATTTGGTATCGGGATAGCAGCCGAGAGGTGAGTTTGCTAAAAAATTTGAGTGTTTAGCAGCCCCGGTGGAGCTGCTAAATCGAGTTTGCGCTGCTATATTCGGTTTAGCAGCGCGGTTTAGCAGCCGCAGTGGAGATGGTCTGAGCCCTCTTAGAGTCATAGGACAGCCTCCTGGTCCAGCCTTCATTCAGGCACTTGGACATTGGCAACATCCCCTTCCTGTCCCTTCCCAAGAAACACAATAAGTGACCACAGAAGGATTCAGAATAAAAATGATACATGGCCCAAGAAGGGCTGAGTACCAGGCAATGCCTCAACAGTGAGTCGAACACTGGACCTTTTGCTAGCACATACTAGGCAAACGCTCTACCACTGGGCTACTGAGGCTGGGTGATCAATGGGAGGAGCCAGCGGTTATGGGTCTCCATTAATTCATATAATTCAACGCCGATCCCAGGAGAAACTCGGGACAAAACCTCGTGAACATAGGGTCAGACTGCTCTTTATCCGATGGAAGAAATTAGTAGCCCATTAGACCGAAAGCTTCATTTGCACTGAATAAACGCAGTCAGCCGGGCGCGGTTTGATCCGCCAGAGTCGCGTCAAATCATGAGGGAAGGAAAGGGGTTGTATGTTGTGAACAAAAAGGAGAACTCTTGGTGAGACAGCCTTTACGAGATGGAATAAGTATAAATAGATACCTTTCAAAAAACGAATCGATCCGATAGACTTCACTTTTGATTGCGCATTCAAGTTTCGGACATAGGCAGTAGGCTAGAACAAAGTATGTGCCACACAATACAACGACTTCGCTGGAAATTCATTAGGGAATCGACATGTGAGTCCATACGATTACGGATCCATAAGACTGGTAAGTACGTAACAGAAGCCGGGTGATCAATCCAAAAAAGGGTAGGAAAGGAGCATTGGGCCCACACCTGCGAAGTTATGACAGCCAGATTATAGCAAGTCATCAGTGTCTGACGATCAGCACAGGAGCAAGCTGCGTGATTCGGTAGCATTCTTCGTCAATTGGATGCCACCCCACTTGATTCCAGATGGCATCATGGTACCCAGTGGTTATTGGATCGCATTGGTGCATCGGAATCTACCCGATTTAACTGCGAGACATCTGAAGAAATGCTTTCATGGATTGGTGGGCCATGCCAGACCCTGGATCAATGCCGAGGGGAAGTGAGCTACATGCCACCTGTGAGGACACTACTTCCCCAGAGAGGTAAGACCTGTCACTAAATATCCATCTCTCAGACCCCATTTAGGTGATTCTGTAAAAACATCCTCTCAAGAAAAATCGTTCGAGGGAAACGTTGGTCGTTGGCCGTGTACAATAAACAAGGGGATCGCGGCTTGCTTCTCCACTCGGGCAATGTGGGGTTTATCGAAGAAGCAGCTGAAGAAGATCCTATCACGATTTTGCTCTCAGGGTGTGCCCAATTATCGCGTGAAGGTTTTTCAGATTTAATTATCAATCTCATCTCTGGCCGATTGAACGATGAGCTTTGACATCTCAGGATGTGTCCCGTACACTGTGGAAGAGATATTTTGGTTATAGGCTTGACCTTAAAAGAATGGTGGACACGTATGCTCACCTACCAGTCTCCAATCCCAATCGTCTCGTTTCCTGTCTGTCTTTTGGTTAACACGATCCAACCGCTTGAGCTGCCTCCTGTTTTGAACGGACTTCAGAATTAATAGAAGCCGCAAATACTTTAAAATTGACAAGAAGATGTTGCTGAGTTCCTACAAATTATTTTCACTACTGCCGATGACAATTGCCTTCGGGCAGGGTGTCAAAGCTCTCAATTTGTTTCGCGGTCCATCTCAACAAGACGTTAAACGATGGGCTGGGGTCAACCTGGCAGGATTAGAATTTGGTATGCAGAATACTGGGACCATGAACCAGGACCCAATGGAACCGCCACCGATCAGTCAAATCCAACACTTCCGAGCGGAAAATGTAACTGCTTTTAGAATTCCAATCTCTTGGCAAAGAATGCAAGTCAGTCGGTTTTTGAGTCCGTGTTTCTTGTAGGAAGAAAATAATGTCAAGTTAAAGAAAGACTGACCAGACGCAACCCTTTTTTTTGGGCGGGGGCGGTGATCAAATCTTTTCGTCCTCTTCAGCCAAAGATAATGGGGCCACTGGACCCAGATTCCCTCCAACTTCTCTCGAAGTATGTGAATTCAGCGTTGGCTTGTAAGGCCAGTGTGATCATAGATTTACACAACGTAAGTTTTGTAGCACTTCTTTGATTCTTGATTCAATGTGAGATGGAAGAAGTAGCGTTTAACGAGTCTTCTGCAAAACCCATTATGCGCCATTTCCATCGCAAACTCAACGGGGGGGACAAAAAGTACGCCAGACGAGATGGTAAAGTGATCGGCGAGGCCGAAGACTTACCAGCAAGTTTGCTGGTAGACTTCTGGACCCGAATCGCCCAGAAATTTGGCGAATTTCCTGAGGTTGGGTTCGGGATAATGAACGAACCTCATGACGTGAAGCTAGATATATGGATCGAAACTCTTCAGGCTGTCGTGACAGCCATCAGGAAGACAGGGGCCACCAACAAGATCATCTTACCGGCCGACAATTGGTCCCATCTACAGACCTTTGCTACCTCATACAACGCCGGGATGTCGAAGATTCACAACCCCGATGGCAGTTGTACCGGGCTGATATTCGAAATCCATCAGGTTTGCTTTTCCGTGCATCAAAAAACTTTCTGCTCGGCCTTCCTCTGACCACTTTTTTCTTTGGGTTTTTCTTTTTGGCAGTATTTCGATAGCGACGGCTCTGGAACGAGTGCAGGTTGCCCGGTTCCTCACACAAAAGAGTTGCAGGAGGTCGTTACCTTGCTCGCCAAAGATGACAGACAGGCAATGATTACGGAATTTGGGGGTGGACACAACCCCGATTGTCCATCTGTCTTAGCAGATTTTGTCGAAGAAGCTCATAAAGTAAGCAATGCAATAATTTTGAGAATTTCCCTTCCAATTAAACTATTTTATGACAGATATTTCTGCTCTGGTGTAACAAATCTACTTGAAAAGACACTAATCCTCCCGTGTAACAAATGTTCTTCTTTTCCATATAATCAAAATTCAATGATACAAAGAGCTTTCCTCAAATCTTGGGGTATTTCCTATGGGGAGCTGGCGCTTTTCATCAGGTAAGATAATTTCTCTTTATTGCTGCATTTTTCCTCTTGGAGTTGAAGCACACAGAAAGATACATAAGAAATTGATCCTATTGCGTACTTGTTTTTTTGCGCACGATAATCGGAACGTATATTTTTGTTAATCAAAAAGGATTACACGCTTGTAGTGACCGTTGAGAAGGCAAGACTCACAACGAATTCACACGTTCTGATCTTCAAATGTCCATGCAAAGAAAGGGGATATACTGACTTGAGTGTGAATTTGTTTGTTTTGTCCACTTTTTGGTGGGTGGCCCAAACTTATAGGATGGCGAATGGGTCGACCAATCGAATTTCCTGGCAATTCAGAAGTTCATGGATCCTGGACCGAAACGGAATCAAATTGGATGGATGCATTGAATGTCATTTTAAACATGCAAACAGTGTGATTTATGTAGTCAGGAATCGCGCTGGAATTCCTTTCATTTGTGTTCCAACTTAACAGCTTGCACTTCATGGTCAGATTGATTTTGTCCGATGAACTAACTAGGTTGACATTTGTTTTGAAAACTTGGATGTTGGCCTATTTTTTTTCCTTTCTAAATCTACCTTTGTGTCGCGAATTTATTGTTTTCTAGATATACGCTCTTTTCAAACTTGGAGTCATTTTTACCTCGCTTACCGCGTTGTGGTGTTCTGTGCGAAACCTCTCACCTAACCCACGTGACCCAAACATTGCCTACTTCTGAGGAGAAGCAAACCCTAAAAAAACCAACATCACTTGCTGAGCATAGAATGAAGCAGTGTGATTTGAGCTCCGGAAAGACCCTCCTTGATGATTCATGTGTCCGATGATTTCCGTTTCTTTTTTCTTCATTTCAGTGAATTTATTGATTTTGTGATACAAACAAAATTTATGGGAACGTAAAACCAGCATATCATCCAGGATGACAAATGTGGAATGTGTGGCATCTGGACAAAAGAAACAAAAATGGCGAGACAGAAATATATAAAAAAAGTGATCAACGATTTAAGAATATAATATAGACTGATTGATAAGCTATCGAAGAAATAGAAGAACAAATCGGCTGAGAGAGAAATTAAACTGTCTACAGGATATGATCAATCTTCGTCATCAGAAGCAATGATAAGTTTGCGCTTAGTGATCTTAGGTTCACTAGGGACTGGCTCAGGTTTAGAAGGTTTTTGAACATGACCACGATCGCGATCGGAGCTTTTCTTTTTGCGATCGAGTTCCTGCTCTTCGAGCTTTTGATCGGCCAGTTCGAGTTCAGTTAGCTGTGGTTCGTGGTGGCTCAGCTGACGAGGATTGCGGCCGGAATCATCCAGATTTTCGTCCTCGTCCTCCTCCATCTCTTCCTCATACTCCTCCTCCTCCTCCTCCTCTTCATCGACCTGATCGAACTCGCCCTCGTCGGATAACAAAGGCGCATTAAACCTACGCTTTCGGACCCCACCCCTCGAGCCACCCTCCAAGAGGTTGGTTTGACGAGAGTTCTGTCGGGCAAGCTTGGCATCCTGTTTCTTCAAGTCCTTCAGCTTCCGCTCCTCCTCCAGCTCTTTGTCGATCTTCTCCTTCTCAGGGTCCAAGGTGATCACCCTCAAACTCGTCTGTCGCTGCGAATTGGCCTTCAGGAGCGACCGGTTGGCGACGATGTTTCGGTGGGTCATCGAGTTCAAGCTGTAGGGTCTCAGCGTGACTTGACCGGTGATCGACGCTTGCGCCTCCAGCAGCTTTAGCTCAGAGTGTTGCGCAAACAGATAGGTCAACCCTTGCGTTGTCGCCCCCGGCTGTTGCTGAGTGGTTGTGTTGTTGTTTTGTCGGCCGTCTACGGTAGATATCATGTCGAATAACTCTGAGCCGACCTGTAACGACTGTGAGCCGTCCTCCCAGCATATCACCCGCGCGTTTGACCGTTTGACCTGTGAGGGGGAGGGTCACAAGAGGGAACATTAGACTTGATAGATTGCGTCAAAGTCCTTCAATCCGTCAGGCTTACGGGATTCCCTTCCGAATCTTTTTGCCATCGCCATCTGATTACATTCTGATCTGTTAAGACCTTAGCGGCCTCACTTTCTCCGCCTTCTTTTTCACTGGACTCGTTTTCATTGAGGAACTCTTCATCCGAAAATGGTAGTGGATTGAAGCTCAGAAAGTTGGGAATCCTCATATCCCAATGCTGATATTCCAGAAAATGAGAACCGGTCATCCAAAATCAGTAATCTTTCAACCGGATCACATGATATTAGTACTGCCACCAACCTTGCCATCCGAAGGTTTTGGGAATGGTAAGTTCGGCAAAGGAGCCTCGGCGATGTATAGATTACGAGAAGCAGTGGGCTGAGCATCGTCATCCTCCTCGTACTCGAGCGCGCTTCTCTTGAGATCAGCTTGGTCATCGTCGTCGGGGAGGAGTTCGCCAGCCGAGCCCTCGTCGTCCTCCTCGCCTCCGAACAAGTCTTCCTCCAGGTCGAGTGGCTGGTCGTTCAACTCTTGCTCGGATGGCTCGGCTTGCCCCGCGTTCCCGTAGGTCTCCTCGTCCTTCGCTTCCCCATCCATTTGATTTTCCCCTGCTGAGATCGGCGTGAGGTGGTTCGATGTTTCTGACATGGCTGAGTTCCTCGATGACTTCCTTCACAGCTGAACGACTCCACCAGCTCGGTGGCCGAGACTCTGGCTGCTGTTGACCAATCCCCCGGGGCACCCGTACGGTGATCGAATGCTGCAAACCCGCTAACCCGGGTGCAGACCGTGTACGACCACAAGCACACTTCCAGTGCTACATAGAAATTCAGTCAAAGAGCATTTGAATTCCCTGCATCAATAGCAAAAATTGCTTAAATAGTTTTGTTTTGATTTAAAAACCAATGGATAAGAGTTATCAGTCTGTGTTTATCTTTCCAAATCTGTCCAATTTCATGTGCAAACACTATCATGAGATCAGAAGTGTCTAAATTGGTGCCGGAGTAACATGAGATTTCCATAGAAACCTGGCATTATGTCTGTATCAGAGGATTGGGAAACACTTTATGAGATCTGGTGATTGCAAAACAACAAAAGCTGAAATATTTACAATTTTCAATGTATGTATGACTTTCAAACAGCTTTCCACTGGTCACGTGGCCTATGCTTCATTTTTGGCACTATCAAACTTAGCAGAGCCTTGCTGCCTCCACTATGAGGGTGCCCATTGAAGACAGACATCTCTCAATCAACTGTAGGACTCCATGAGTTTCCTTAGTGCATTTTTCCTCAATGATATCCTCTATCATTGAGTAGACTGACTGAATAGACTGAAATGTATCAGTTCATCATACTTCAGCTCATCTCAATCAATCAATTCGTTCATTATTAATGAAATAAGTTATACACAGAATGACCCGTGACTGTGTGGTTCATGAAAAGCTCTCTGATCTCTGGCTTGGATTCCGACTTTACTCCCGGCGGAGATACAGGTCTTGAAAGCTCTCCCTCGAAAATCAATCGTGTACATCAACGAACAAATGCGACACTTGATTGATGCATAGCCAAGTAAGATTTGATTGACGAAAAAAGACTTGAAGAAGTAGGCTTTGACAAAACAGAAGAGAAGTAAAAAATGGAGGTTTTCTAATGTGACATGTTTGAGTCGAGTTGCTCCTGTTGTTGTTTCCTGAGCGCGTTTCTAATCTTTTGAGCCTCTTGAAATATTTTGCTTTCCTCCCTTCTTTCTTCCAGTAATTCACCTGCCCGAGCAATCGTACAGATTGACATAGCAAAAATGAGACCATTAGAAAACGAAAAAGTCAGTATCAATGAGGTAAGTTTTCGGTTTTTGTTTTTTGCATAAAACCGATGAGAGAGGAAAAGAAACTTCATTTTGCTTGCTTGATTTTGATCGGTGATGAAATCGTGCAGAAATATTACAGTATATGGATCGGAAGGTTTCGTTGATAGACTGGAACTTACGTTGGCGGATTTTGAGATGATAGAAGTAATAGCCAAGTGAGCCGAAAAGTCCCGTTGAGATTCCATGAGCCCACAAGTCTATTTGAGTGTGTTTTGCAACAATGACGCCGGTCAACATCGAGCGAATTATGATTGTGTACGTTGGGAACGAAGTAAAATTCGATCGATCATAGAGGTTTGACCAAGCGAGAACAGAAAATCAGAAAAAAAAGACTCGATCAGCAAGACCAAGATATGTAATATTCCGATAAGGTGACAACTGAACTAGTGAATAGAGGTCTCTGCATGACGCCCAGCTGATAACATCGGATCCCGAACCCGATAGCTGCCCAAGTAGCGGTATACGTAGCCAAGCCCATGCTGGTGAGACGACAAGACGATCGGTGATGAGGATGTGGATGAGTGGTGTTCAGTGCTGTGGGGGAAGTATCGAGGCCGAAGGGATGGCGCTTCAATCCTGTGACATTCACCGAACATCTGCGAAACCCAGCCTGGTGGAGGTTCACACGGCTTTCCGAGCAGCCCCGATTACAAGGGATTCCATTTAGCACTACAATCTTTCCTAAGGTACTCTTGTCAGGGATACGCCGCAGCATATCCCTTAGGTTAGCTGTGGAACTAGTTCCTCCAGGTATCCGAGTTTGGGTGTTAATAAGAACAAGACATCATGAATCAATTTCTGTTGAAATGATGAGTTAGATCTTAATGACCAAAGGAAGACACTTGTTTTTGCTTTGTTTTGACATAATTTTTATTTATTTTTACTTTTAATTAATTTTTATTTCTAATAGGAGATAGGTTTGGAGCAAAGAAGCTGTCCAAACTTAGTATTGAATGTAAAAATTGGGTGGGTGGGAGGTGCTCAAAAATTTCCTTGTAGAGGATTTGAGTTTGATGGTAAAGATTGGGGGAATGTGTTCTGATAAGTTGATTGATAGAGAAGGCGAGATGAGGGATAAAGTGAATGTATAAAGTGTTCTGGGGAAAGACCTTTAAACTTCTCGCGCTCATCTGCTTTCCATGTTCTTGGACTAGTCCAGACCATTTCAAAGCCAACTGTATCAGAATAGTCCGTGCACATGGACAATAGTACCTTCCTTGCAGGTCAGGTGCTACATATCCATTTAGCACTACAATCTTTCCTAAGGTACTCTTGTCAGGGATACGCCGCAGCATATCCCTTAGGTTAGCTGTGGAACTAGTTCCTCCAGGTATCCGAGTTTGGGTGTTAATAAGAACAAGACATCATGAATCAATTTCTGTTGAAATGATGAGTTAGATCTTAATGACCAAAGGAAGACACTTGTTTTTGCTTTGTTTTGACATAATTTTTATTTATTTTTACTTTTAATTAATTTTTATTTCTAATAGGAGATAGGTTTGGAGCAAAGAAGCCTATAACTCAGGGAACAACATGATGTGAGGAGCCTGAGCCTAGTGATCAAACCCTACTCTCCGAAACAAAATGTCATGCAAAAATCGTAGTATCAATCCTCATCCCATAACTCGTTTAACTCCTCTATAATCTTTTTTGATTCGAGAAGTGAAGAATTGTCATACTCTCTAATGTATAACTTATAGCAATTCGACACCCATCTGCCTAAAACGCATATTTCATCTACAGGTGTTCCGAGTGCGAACCGCAACGATGCTCCCCCGACCCGAAAGGAATGGCCTAACAACCCGTCGAATCCTCCTGATCTCAAGACTAATTGAATTCGATTTACGGCAATCGATCGTGTCAGGTGTTTTCGGGTCTCGCCGCAGAAAAAACCAAAAAGGGACGTTTTTTGTCCTGCTGCTTCTTCCAGTCTTCTCTTAATCGCCAAAACCGGACATAACATGTTTTTCAAGCTATGTAAGACTATTTCTTGAGGTTTACCCGGTGTTGCCGTTTTTGCGTTACGTACCGTCAAAATGACTTTCTCTCCGATTGCCGAATTCACAATACGAGCGCCTGTCGTTAAGAGTGACAGTTGACTTTCAATTGATCCTGTAGGTTTACTGTATGTCAATTCTCCGATTCTGGCCATACCCCAAAAGGCCACGATCGCCAAATCCATTATCGCTTTGTCGGCCTTTCCACCCGGAAATAACATGTTTGACAGCCATATTAGATGTTTCAACATTATCGCCGGTTTCTTTGGTTTGAGCGGTTTAGTTGCGTCCACTTTAGCCGATGCCTTTAGTAATAATTCGATTCGTTTATCCGCTATTTCTGGGTACAACGTGTCATGGAAAGTGTGCCATGCCTTTATGCCGCATAAGTACTTCCTAATTGAACTCGCCGATATTTTGTAAGAGTTGTTTAAGTAAAGGTTTCTTCCTGCCCAAAAACAAAAATCTTCTATATCTTTACTCGTAGCTGGTAGAACGAAGTCGTGGTCTCCTGACAAGTTTTTGAAGAATATGAATTTCTTAACAGCAGCGTTATATCTAGAGATGGTCGAAGGGTATCCGTCGCGGATACCCGTTATCCGCTGGCGGATACCCGTTATCCGCTGGCGGATACCCGCCTGTGCCAACGGATACCCGCCAGCGGGTGCGGATTCGGGTGCGGATGGCCCCTTTTCCGCAAATCGCTGGCGGGTATCCGGGTATCCCAAAGGATACCCGCGGCCGGGAGGGGAGATGGCCGGCTGGAAGGAAGCCCTTCCAGCCGGTCCGTCGCCGGCCCTCTAGAGGGCGGGTATCCGAGGATACCCGCTCGGATACCCGCTGCGGCCGACGGATACCCGCTAGCGGGTGCGGGTGCGGATGCGGATGTGCAATTTCGCTGAAATTGCCATCGGATATCCGCATCCGGACGGGTATCCGGATGCGGACCGACCATCTCTAGTTATATCCTATCAATGTATTCCATTTCCACCCTGATAGTAGGTGTGCATTTAGGGCTGATACCGGGTGATGAGTCGTGCCTTTCGCAACGAAAGCTTTAATTTTGTTTAAATGATTAATAGTTAAAGCCCTCGAGTCTACTATTGTACCAGTTTCCATTATAGCTTGTTTGACTAATAATTGTTGTATGTAGGGAAAGAACAGATATCGGGTACTTGGATGATCCTAGCTAACAGATTACAGAGGACAATAGAGTTCTTAAATAGTTTACTTTGAATGAGATAACCACCCTTCCCAATCCTCTGGTAACGGGAAATGGACCCTGTTCTCCGCCTTCAGATTTCCCACGATACCCCTTGACAAGGCATCCGCGACATTATTCTTTGACGTAACTCGGCGTCCCGTTATGTCAAACTGCTCCTGAATGAGTGTGTCCTGTATCCACTTCCACTCTTCGTTCACTCCCGCATCCTTTGATTTCCTCTTTTCAATCACTGATTCCGCTGTAGTATTGTCTGTCCAGACAATGACATTGGACCCTTTCCTGTGTCTCTTCAAGTATAATAACATCAACAAACCTACCCTTACCGCAACTGTCTCCAACCATGCGATCGTTCGGACGTTACCGCTACTGAACCACTTCTCTTGTAGGCTCAGTTGAGACCAGTATTTCCCAACGAGTACTCCGACTCCGAAACTCGATGAGGCATCACCTACCCAACCGATTTCTCTAGGTTCCGAAGGGATGATCAATCGAGTCGCTTGAAATGATTCCAAGGTCGACTCCCATCTTGATAAATCTTCTAAAACGTCTAGTGGAGTTTTACGTTTTGCCTGCAAGTCAAACCAATTTGACATCCACCTATATAGCGCTCTTAAGTAGCATCTCAATTGAGGTAAGATGTATGAGACATGGTTGAGTCTCCCGGTCAAAATTTCTACTTCGTTGAATGAGAACTTCTTCGATGTGTCCTTGAATTCTTGTATCTGTCTCCTCCTATCCGCTAGTTTTGTCTCTGGTAACCTCACAGTCTTATCTTTACCGCTCCATATGAAACCGATGAATTTCTGTTCGTCTGAAAACGAGGAACATTTCTTCTTGTTTGTTAAAACCCCTAGTTGTATAGATCTGTTGATTATGTTCGTCATGCTAGCCGTTGATGTCAATTCCCTAATGAAGAGGTTATCATCGACCCATCTAAATACTTTAATGAGATCGAACTCTTCTTCCATGATACGTTTCCAAGCATCGGCTGGGCGCCCGAACGAGCCACACCCTGCCACCCCTCCAAAGGTAATTCTTGTATCCAGGTACAGGTTGTCGTCTAAACCCATAACCATGAGATACCTCCATTGTGATGGGTGAGTTGGTATCTGTCGATACGCTTTCTCCCAGTCAAATAAGGCTAGCTCTACTGGGTTCTTCAAGTTTTTGAAAAAGGATGCTACCGTGTTGAAATCATCCCACGTTGTCTTGAAGTCGTCTTTATCCACAAACGAGTTTACTGAGGGAATGTAGGAGTCATTCCTCAGAAAAGATAGATCATTGATTGGTCTAACCGAACCGTCACCATTCACCACTGCTCCTAATGGGCTTGAACGAAAGAATCCGAAGTGTGCGTAGGCTTCTTCATGAGTGAAAGGTCTGTACATCCGCTTAGCGTCGATTTCTTTTTTCATGGAATCTGTTATCTTCTCTCTAGCCAAGGATGATGAAAGGTGATTATCTGGGGTGAACCATGATAAATTTCCTATCTTGTGGTCTGGTATCCCTTGGTTAAACCCATACCTAAAACCGTGTAGTACATCGCTGTACTCATTGGCCAATCCTGCATTCTTGAGGGCCTCTTGCCAACACGTTATGTTCATCTCACATGAGGCGCGAATAGGCCAACTGTTCGATGTGAATTCCAGTTACAGAAACAAACGAGTTGAAAAAGATAAAGACGGTTGAGATAGATCATCGAGGAAGGTGGCACATAAACAAAGGGAAATAAGAATCAAGAATCAATAAGTGGAACAAACAGTATGAAGAAAGACTCAAGACAGCGATGAGTTTGTGCGTCGAGCGTACAAACATCAATTCTCATATTTAAACAACTGCTATACGAGTAGGCGCATTATAAAGTGGAAACAAAAACCCGGCGCGTGAGAAGAAACTCGCTAAACCTACTTCGGGTTATTCCTCCTATGCCCGTCTGATTTGCCTTGTGGGTTCTCAGAGAAATTGGACCCTCGGTAACCGCCACGTGGGCGTTTATTTCCTTCGGGGTTGCCTTGCTTGCTGTAGCCTTGATTATAAAACTGTCCTCCCCCATTCGGCCCCCCACCATTGCCGTTATGGTTTCTTTGTTGATAGTTGCTGTTGTAGTTCTGGTTAAAGAAATTGTTCTGCATATGATGTTGTTGCATGTACGGGTTATTTATCATATGATTGTTGGTGGGGAATTGCGCCTGGCGTTGCTGTCTTAGGCACCCTGTGAGGGGGTCGTAGTTTGCGTGGGAGAGTCCTGGGGCGTAGAGGTTTTCTTCCCAGTCTAATTCTCCGAAATTTCTACATTGATTGTAGCATTGCTCTACGACGGACTCCTTACGTTGAGAAATGTCTGGGATGGCGTTCTTGACGTCTTCGTCCGTGATCCGATGTGAGAAAGTGTTGTTGCGAACTTCCATGTCGTATCTGAAAGCTACCATGAACCCGAACTCTTCTGTTATATCATCGCAGTTGTTCTTGTGGGTCCCAAGCAACTTGGAGAATTCTATGATCTTGTACACGTCGTGTAAAGTCTTGCGGAATGCTCGGTGGTTTCGAGTCCATTGCGCGTATGTCTGGGTCCATTCTTGGATAAACGCGAATCCTTTATAGCCACCCGACTTATCTTTGTCGTTCGAAGATTCGTCTGATCTCTGGCGTCTGTCTAAATGGTGGGCCATCGCTCGTTGTTGCCATTTGCGGTTGAAAATGGTCAACGGTAACGGTGATCTCAGCTTCCTGATGTTTTCATCTAGGAAAGGGGCGAAACCGACGCTATTGTGGTTTGTGACCGACCCGATAGCGTAAACGAGGTCTCCTTCGGTCAGGAAGAACTTTTTTGCAGCTGAGTGGGACGATGTATCTGCATGTTGGATCAATTGAGGAGGGTGGTATGTGACACCGGTCAAACCGCTGTACTTCGGAACTGCAAACGGCTCTGCGACGTTGCTCGCTCTGGGTGTCTCTTGCACCGTGAAGCGTTGCGAGGTGATTGCTCCAATGGCTTTAAACAGCATCTCAGCAAGGGCGGTATCGCCTGCGTCTTGGGCGGCGGTCGCGCGATTCCACATTTCCTGACGCTCGTTCATCAAGGTCGATGATACAGATGATGAAATTATTGCTAGAGCATCGCAAACATGATCAGCTGAGTGCTTACTCTGCTAAGTGAATCCCTCTGCTGAACGTATACGACAGCTTACCTGGGGATCTGTCTACGACTATCTCTTCCGCTTCTCCCGGTACGTTTACTGCCACTTGGGCTCGGTCATTGCGTGTCTCGCTGTGATTCTTGTCTAAAGGGATCGGTATATGCATTGCCGCATGGGCTCGATCTCTGCGTGATTTGCTGATGTCTGCTATCGAGGAGTACAGAACGTCTACAGATTTTGACAACCGAGACACATGTTAATAACGCTCTTTACTCTATTGCGAATGACCGCTCAGAAAGATGCGGATAATCGCTCGCGACTTAAAAGGGGAAGGATGCGGATAATCGCTCGCGACTTTACTCACCACCTGCTCGTATTTCATCGTTAGAGTGTTCATGAACATTGCCACTGTGGGCTTGACCAATGCCGCTTTGGGCGTGACTGATGCCAGTATGGGCTTGGCTTGTGCCACTATGGGCTTGTCCGGGTCCGCCGTGGGCTTGTTTGGCTATGCTCTCTTGGGCTCGAACACTATCTGCTTGCCCGTCCGATGGGATCAACGCGTTCGTGATGGCAATGTCTTCTAACTTATCTCTATTACCGCTGGCGCCGGTGGATTCTTTGATCTTCTTGGATGTTGCGCGCGTGATATTTGATTCGACCATGGTGTCTTGGTGTTTGTCTTTGGTGTTTAGTGAGTGTTATGGGAAGTGGGTGTTGTAAACCGGGTGGGTGTTAGTGACTGTTATGGGAAGTGAGTGTTGTAATCCGAGTGAGTGTTTTAGCTCAAAAATTTCCTTGTAGAGGATTTGAGTTTGATGGTAAAGATTGGGGGAATGTGTTCTGATAAGTTGATTGATAGAGAAGGCGAGATGAGGGATAAAGTGAATGTATAAAGTGTTCTGGGGAAAGACCTTTAAACTTCTCGCGCTCATCTGCTTTCCATGTTCTTGGACTAGTCCAGACCATTTCAAAGCCAACTGTATCAGAATAGTCCGTGCACATGGACAATAGTACCTTCCTTGCAGGTCAGGTGCTACATAACAACAAGGTGAGGCCTGTTGAGCACCTACTGGATTTTGCACTGTCCTTGTGCTCTGTTAACCCTCTCTGCCGAGTTCCAAGAATTCTTGTTTGTCAGGCAATTCTCACAAAAAAAAAATATATCTTGATCTTCAGGTGTGCTGGAATAATCAAGTCCTTCAGGGAGCTGCCTAACTCAACACTTCATATATTATCACATAAATCAACTGTTAAAAGAATCTAGACAAACTTAATTGGGCTCTTAATATTTATTTCATTCTAATCAGTTATCTTCATGCCTGTCCTAGTCAATTCTAGCCTGAGGCCTTTGGAAAAATTATTTATCAACATCCTGGCATCAAATTGGAAATCACTCATGTTTTAAGGAACTCGAAATAATGTGAATCCCTATTCAGAATTTCATTGTTCACAGTATCCTTATAATGCGTTCAAGAATCTTTCCCTCTGGATTGGGGGATCTATGCAGCATTCGGTAGTGCTATCTGTTGTCAACACTGGATTTATTGGGTGGTGCAGAGATGCTATACAATCAATTTGGATTCCTTATACTCATGCAATCAGCTTATCTGAGGAGAAAAAGGAATGAGCAACCGGTTGGCATCATCAATTGAGTAGGATGGGTTACAAGATTGATGGATGTGCATCTCTCTTTGAATTTCTCTGAAATCAGGAATGTGTTCCTACAGATTGGTCATTTGTGCTTAATTGAGCCAATCAAAGCTCCAAGAAACAAAAGCTGACATGGTGCAGCTGGTCCCCATCAAAGACGCTGGACTTGATTGGCCGAGATTTTTATAGGAAATAATCTCAACTCGTTCCATCGAACCTTGGTTGACTTGGATAACACCACATCCTTTGAAAGTTCCCCCTCATCTAATCACCTCGACTGTCCTCTGTTCGAAACACCCTCACTTCCTGATATAACCAAGGCTCAACGATGCGGCTCTTAATTGTGTTTGTGTGTCTCATTGGCCTGACTTACTCTGCATTTAAAGGCGGTGTATACGGTATACCGCAACGGTGCATATGACGGGCATCTCCTTCCGGCAAGCGATACAACCTATTGTTCTCGATGTACATTGATGGACCTCTTCTGCATCCAAGTCGCTCCAGAGTTGAAGACAATTAGAGAAAGAGTGATACCATGCGACAAGCCAGCTGGACAAAAATGCACCCAGCATGTACTGCTCGAAAAGAAGTGCCCAAAGTGCCATGGTGACACTGCAGTGGGTGTATGCGGAAATGCCCCTGTCTCAACTCAATAAATCATCTCTAAAAAAGCCCCTTGAGGACACATTCCCATATTATGTCCGGAGGAACTCGCACCAGGAACATTTTTTTCCCTTTAATTTTTCAAATCTTGGTGCCCAAGTTTGCTTCCATCAATGGTGTTCATAAGCATTGCTCAAACATTGTTGTTTTTTTGCAACTGAGTAGCACCACCTAAGAGAGTAGGGTTGAAGGCGCCACCTTTTCAAGAGGTGCATGCCTAGGGGCTCTTGTCAAACTGCCAGAGCATGGCGCCTTTGGCTGGCGGCACCACGGCAAGCTGGGTGCTGTCAAAAAAGCTCAAAAATCAAGGTTGAAAGTGTTTTTTTTTGTAGAGGCAAGACCTCTGCTACAATCAACGGTGGGCCGCTACGCTACACTACGCTATTTGACCACTAACTGTTAGTGTAGCGGCCTTTTTTTTCTCTAGAAAATCTGTAGTGTTAGCGCACGCTAAACACTGCTGAGCTAACTGCCAGCGTAGCGTGAAATTTTTCTCTCAAATTTTCTGTAGTGTTAGCTTCAAATAATCACCGCTAAACTAACAGGTAGTGTAACTTTTTTTTCACTAACAAAATTTTGACTAACAGATAGCGTAACTGAGTCGACGCTAACATTTAGCGTAACTGGTCCCACACTACGCTACACTATATTTTAAGCTACACTACACAATGGTGGACAAATGAAAAATTTCAAGTGAGAAAATAACACAAATGCATGCCTTGAGGTGGAATTGAACACTTGACATGACAGGTTAGTAGCATCTCCAGACATCCTCCTTGTCCACATGACTAGCAGTACATGAGGAATGGGTCGGTGAGTTGAGGTTCAGTCAGCAAGAGGATGTCATGGACATGCCTGTGACATTTTCACTCCCTGGGCTTTGAGTTTGAACTTGAAGTTCAAGCAAGGGGAGATGGATGTCGGACCTCCAATCTCTTCCGATCCAAGCAAGACCCCATCAAGATTTTTCATCCTCATCCTCATCATCAACTTCATCAAAACTCAATCTGATCTTCATCTCAATTAAATACTCATCACAACCACCTCCATTATATCCTCCAATCCAAAAGTCTCTTCAGCTTACTCCCTCTTCTGAAACTTAGGTCTCTCATTGGATTGCATTGGACTAACTTCAATCAATTCGATCTCAGCAACTGTTCGCTTTTAGTCAACACAGTGGTCGACAAAGTTGTAGCCCTTGACGTCAGCTTTACAACGAACTAAAAATTAAGGAAATCAGACCTTTTTTTCAAAAGTTATCGCTACTCAAAGTCAACCAGCAAAAATCAATCGCTTCCCCAAAAGGGAACAAACTAGAAGACTGCTACCCTGGCTCTGATGCTTGCTAACCTCCCCCCTCTTTGATTTAGTACCCCACATACATTTTCTTGACCATTGACTGTGGATTACAAACAGGAGGGGCCAAAAAGCGGTATGATTCAAATTTGTGTTAAAGTTCCGCAGGTTGCTGATCTAATTTTTTGCTTCTTCTTACTCTTCCTGTTTCCCTTTCCTGCAGCTGGCTACTAAATGATGGAATAAATGGATCTTGGGGTGATTCAAACCCTGGGGACTAATTTATCTCTTGATAGTAATAATAATGCCAGTATGAAAGCAGCAAAGAAACGGTGCCAAGCCAAAAAAACAGGAGCTTCGAAACCAGATTCTCAAACAAACTCTCACCCCTAGTGATACCACCTACTTTTTTCAATTGGAGGAGCGTAATCAGTTACGCTAACTGTTAGTGTAACTCAGTAGAGATCGTTCGTCGGTACCCGTTGCTAGGTACCTAGTACCGCTCGGCGGGTACCGCCCGCACCCGCCTCGCACCCGCCAGGCGGTGCCGGGTGCGGTGCCGGGTGCCGGTTTTTTGGCAAAAAAAGGGGAGGTACCCGGGTACCGCTCCGGGTACCGCCCCCAAGAGTCTTGACCGGAAGGGTTTCCTTCCGGTCAACGAGGATTTACCCTCGTTGACCGGAAGGAAACTCTTCCGGTCAACGAGGTAGATGTACCTTGCTGATCGGAAGGGTTTCCTTCCGGTCAACGAGGTACATGTACCTCATTGACCGGAAGGAACCCCTTCCGATTGATGAGGTACATCTACCTCATCGGCCGGAAGGAAACCCTTCCGGTCAACCTCGCCGGGACGCTGGGGTTCCCCCCAGCCTCAAGGCCATTTTTTTTTCTTTTTTTTCTTACTTTTTTTTCTTTTTTCTTTTTCTTTTTATCTCTTTTTTTTCTGTTCTTTTATTTTTTTTCTCTTTTCTTTTTCCTTTTTTTTCTCTTTTCTCTTTTCTTTTCTTTTCTTTTCTTTTTTGTTTTTTTTTTTTCAGCAATTACAAACAGTTTTTTTTTAAATTCTTTTCAATTGTTTTTGACTTTATATTTTTTATGTTTTTAAAATAAAATGATAGTCACAATAAATCCCCCCCAAAAAAACTCAAACAAGATGCAAAAGGATTGTAATGAACCTTGCAGTCAAACTAAGTGAGGAAGAGAGGGGAGGTACCCGTGGTACCTGCCAAAAGTACCGCCAGTACCCGCCGGGAGGTGCCTGGTGCGGTACTTGGTACCTATTTTCTGAAAAAAATCAACAGGTACCTAGGTACCAACAGGTACCCGAGTACGAACGGAGAATCTCTATAACTCAGTAATCAGTTATGCTAACAGTTAGTGTAACTTTTTGATCAGTTACGCTAACAGTTAGTGTAAATGAGGGGATCACTACGCTAACAGTTGGTGTAACTTATCAAAAAGTTACACTAACAGTTAGTGTAACTTTTTAGCCCACTAACCACGCTAAAATTCCACTAACAAGGGATTTGGTTAGTGTTAGTTGCTGTTTTTTTTAGTCAGCTAACACTACGCTAAAGTTTTTTTTGTTTTTTCAGAAATCCTGTAGTTTTAGTGGGCCAAATTTTTTCGCTGACAGTAACTTTTGTGTAGCGTAGCTTAAAAAGCTAACACTACGCTGCACTAACACTATGGTTAGCGTAACTGGCCCACCGTTGCTACAATGCATAGTGTCTGTGTCAGAGGCCATAACTGCATAATCCCAAGTGGTGAGAGACTGAGATGGGAAATTTTAAATCCATAAAAAGTTGAATCTGGTCTGATCTGGTTGGATCTGGTCCAAGATATCTCAGGGGCCCTTCAAAAGTAGGGTTGAAAGTCAGGTGCACACTGACCCCCATTTTCAGGATCTTTGGGGACCCAGGTGCGCACACAGGGGGGTGGGCGCACTTTGGCGCACCCCATCCTATGGTGCTGTCATCCCTATATGGGAGACTGTTTGGGTTATAGTTTATTAAGGCATTAAATATGCACAATAGCTGTGTACACATAAAATAAAAACACTTGAATGTAAAATAATCTCCTCATGAATCTCTCAAAGTCAGACTCACACAAGATACCTCAGATTCATTAGCTTGAGTTTAGGATCAGGGATGATTCATAGACTTGAGGGTTGGGCCTTAGGCTTCAAGGCTTTGTTTTCAAAGGGATATTTTCAAATACGCAAGAAGCTATTGTTACAAATACTGAAGCTTATCAATCCTCTCAGCAATCAAAAATATAGAAGTCTTCATGGCCAAGGGGAATCCTCTCAAAGTCTCCATGGCCAAGATGAATTGTCTTGGCCATGGAGACAGTACAGAATGCATGGATGTAAGGGATTCCTCCTGGCCATCACAGTCCAGTCTCTATGACTGGGAGGAATCCCTCTTATCCATTGAGTTACATTCTTCTCCATGCCACATGGTCAAGGGGAATCATCAAAAAAAAGTTGGGAGGATTGGGGGGCCCCAAGTTCCAAAGCTCTCTGGATTTGGAAGAAAAACTCCCCAGCCCATAGAGGATTTCATTTGTACCATGTGTATCTAGTAGATGTATACCATTTTTGGGAGTTAGAAATCCAAAAGCTTCAAGTCGTATGACAAAGACCCATAATTATTGGAACACAGGTTTATTGAATTTCAGCAATTTTATAATAAATATATTGTTTGAATTTCAACCCATTCCCTAAGAAAACTACTCTTATCAACCTTATATTTCTCACCTGAATTGATGTGTGGACTTTCCAAGCTATGTTTTAATTTAATCAAAGCCCAATCTTAGTTATATACCCTTGATGCTGTAGTTATTTTTATTTGACCCAGAAAAAATCAAGGAAACTCCATTTTTAAATCTTATTCCTTGATTTTCTAACTCTTCCTCACAAGAGAAAGTTGATCTGTTGGAAAACAGTCTGTTCAAACAAGGGTAGTTACCAGCAATCAAAATATTTAGTTCTCATCATTTATGAATCTTGTCCATTGGTGCCCTAAGTAAAAAAAAACATCTGCTCATCTACTTTTACTCAGATTCCAACAGATATAAAAATCAAAATCAGTCTTTCCAATTATAAGGTGTCATAAATTCATCAAGTAGCCCAATCTTAGCAACTATGTTAGTCCCCTTCAAGACACAAAAAGGATACAGCAAGTATTAAACCAAGATCAAAGCCAGAGCAAAAATGTCTTATGTCACTTTTCATCTGGTAATCTTGCTTTTTCTTCCTGCTGATATATGAAAGTAACATGTTATTGCCCCATTCTGAGACAAATTAAAATAAAAAAAGAGGTCCTTGTGAAAAGGTATTTGAAAAAGATTTGAGAAGACAAAATAATTTTTTTGAGTGAACGGATTTAAACTATGAGGGTAGGTCAATCACTTCACCACTACATAGTTGGTAATGAAGTTTTCCAGATCAATTTTCACAGGAAGAGGAGTACTTGAAGGTGGTTGCAGATCTTCCAACACTTTTAAAGCATAGTCAAACAGGATTTAGGCCCCGTTGGGCAGCGTCATACATTTAGGTTTAATATTGCCTGATTAATTCAATAAAAAAAATTAACCAATGGGAAATATGTCACAAAATTGTTACTCAGGCAAGTTCAACTACTGGTTTCATTAATGCTGAGACAAATTTGATATATTGATATTGGTATTATTGTACTGAAGGTAGCCCATTATCTCAACTTTGTTTGTACTAAACTTGAACTAAGTAGTTGACCTTGCCTCAGTAATAATCTTGTTGCATATTTCCAGGTGGTTTATTTTCCATTGAATTAATAAGGCAGTATTACACCTAAATTTATGATGCTGCCAAGTTAAACTGGGGCCTTAGTTTTTCCACAAGGCTTGTCACATCTCTTTGAATTCCTTCAAAAGCACAAATGATTTCCAGCAGCAGATAGGTACTTTGTGCTAGAGATCGTTTGTTCGGACCTGTTGGGGGGTACCTGCCACACTTAAAAACACTCCCTCCACACCCTCAGACACCACTGATGCTTCCAGAGGGTTCAGTAATGATGAAGGTTTAGTACTGCCCCCCCCACTGGTATTTATGGTCGCTGTTGATGTGGAGGGCTTGATCTGAAGTGTGGCAGGTACCCCCCAACAGGTCCGAACGAACAATCTCTACTTTGTGCGCAGGCAAGCTGACGAAATCTCTAAGGAGCATAATATGATATGAGTGAACTGGTTCCCTTACCTTGAATCAAAGATTCTGCACATGATTAGGAGGGATTTCAATAGTCAAACAATCTTCATTCATTCCGTTGAGCCCTGGTCAAATTGGATAACACCTCATCTTTCAACAACACCTGGTTCATTTACCTGGACTGTCTTGTGTTCAAACCCCCCACAAACACCCAAAAAAGGCAACCCTGATCCATGCAGCTCCTAATTGTGATTCCTTGTCTCATTGGCTTGGTTCATACATTCAATGGACGTCAACTTCCACCAACCGATATAACAAACTGCTCTGTATGTGCTGCAGAGTCTTCTACTGGACACAAGTCAGAAAAATGGTATCAAATTTCCACCAAGTTCAAACCCAGCCCAGTCTCAGTAGACCCGGCCCTGGTCCAGAGTTGTACATAACTCATGAACGATTGAACGCGCCATGCAATAAGCGACCAGGAGAACAGTGCACCCAACACACAGTTGTTCACAAGAAGTGTCCAAAATGCACAGGTTTCCGTGTAATACACACCTGTGGACCTGCTCCTGTATGAGATATTTCACTTGACACAAATACCTTCAGGAAACATTTCAATGACATTTCCAAAGGAAATCGCACCAGGAACCATTTTTTCCACCCTGTTTTAATTATACACCAAATGTGTCCATAAAAATCTCACAAACATTTTAGTTTCATTTTTGAAACTGGTTAGTACAACTTGGGGAACACTGGGTAGCCTGTTTTGGATATTCTTTCAGCATTGATTATACACCATATCTGTGTATGCATAGATCACACAATCTTTCATGTAAGGTAATCCCCTCCAGAATCTCTGTAAGCCCACACATTAAAGAACATGATTCTTGTTAGATTGGGGTCAGATTGATATTAGGCTAATGGCTGAGTCATGGGTTAGGTCTTAAGAGGGTAGATGTTCTTTGGGTTTTTTTCAAAGCTCCACCAATTTATTGTTAGGTAAATTCTAAAGATTCCAGAGACAAAAAAAAATTTTAAGTCAAGGTGTAGTTTGGATCTACACACCCAGAAAATTCCAAGTACAGTTTCTAAAGCATTTCCTTATCTTTGTTTTTAATTCCTCATAAGATTTCCATATTTAGGGTACCTTATTAGATAGAGGCCTATTCCGAAATGATGAGAAGTTCTTTGGTGATTGATCCATAGTTGAATTTTATAGAATCAGTTGGGATATTGTTTGTGTGATTTATCAAGATTGATTAAATTTTAAATTTTGTTGGTGATTGGTAATTATTACTTGATGAGAAGAGAAGTGAGTTCATGAGTGATGTGGACATGCCACTCTTGAGAAATTTTCCATGCTTCTTTATAATCATCTTGATGAATGATATTTATGCCCACTGCAGTAAGTATGAAAGTAATTGTGCCAATGAAGTGTTGGAATGGATGAAGCTCTGTGTTTTTCAAAGGACTGATTATTGTTGCTTGTTGGATATATTGTCTTTTGAATAATGCTTGGACAAACCGAAGTTTTCCAAGCACTATAGTTATGGTGTTACGGTGCTGTGCAGCAGTTTAAGCTGCTGATTTTTGCCACACAGCTCTTGTCTTCCTGTGATCAAAGGCGCAAGCATCACAGCCCGTCATGACCACAACCACCACCTACTGATTCTGTCAGACACTGAGACACTAGCCCAGGTGTCTACAATAGAATGTAACCCCCTTGGGTTACATAATAATTATTATATGTAATCTTTAAGTTAATAATTATTAAGTAATGTTATCCCTTTTTACATGTATTTTTTATGTTAATAATTATTCTGTAAATTAATAAAGATTCACCTCTTTATTAATTTACCTCTTTCATGAAAATTATAATCAAGTGAAAAGGATAATTATCTCATGGGTGTATCCAAGAGATGATTATCCAATTTACCTCTCTTGTGTGTATGATTATTATGTTTATCTCTCTTATGGTATTTTCTGAAATAAAGGATATTCAACACATGTACATTTATCATGCTCTGAATATCCTGACACTTTCCCCCAAGGAAAAGTGTAACAATAAGGGGACTGCACCGGTCCCAGCAGCAGAATTGACCCCTGCTCTGTAATATTTAAGAGGATGCTTCTCCCCCTGAGATTCATCCCCCAGACAATATTACCATACAAACCCAAGTACCTTACTATAATACCTATAAATTAGTGAGTGGGGTTTTACAGTAAATTATTGTATCTTAGTTATTACCTTTCTCTTTATCTTCTTACTAGCCTTATAAGTTACATATTTAACTTATAAGACTAGTACAAACCTCAATTTCCTTATAATCCTTCAGCTCAGGCACTGTGAAGCTCATCCCACAGTTGTCCCTTATTATTATAAGGAGCTAGCCCCTCCACTGTATTAGTGTTGAGGAGAGGCTCAATTCCACTGGCCCTTTTTGGCTAAAGTGTGACCAAAACTCATCAACTCTAGGTCACATAAGAGACCAGAGCTGACAGATTCCGATCCCCAAACATGTATGCTCACAACCCCCACCAAAACCTGGATACGTTGACAAACCGGCCCACAACCGTCCAAAGGCATCTTTGAGGACTCTCGTTTTTGGCCATGTGTCAGTTTCTTAGTATTTTGATTTCTCTGCTGTTGTTTTGTTGACAGATCGATCTTTACAAGAACAAGTCTATTATGAAGGTCCAGTTGAACTCGGATTTGCAGGAGCCAAGCCGCAACTACGGGCCATGCCAATCTCAAGTCGGACCGATAACCCAAAGTTGGTGATCCGACCAGCGACCGCAGATTTTGTGATGGTCACTCCTCGTTACAAGCTCATTGCTGACAGCTAAGAACGGCGACCTGGAGTGGAAAAGTTTCAAAACTCACTGTATCGGATCTTAATCAACCAACCGTGCAACTCCTGCTGGTTCCGATTGACATCCTAGGATAACCCACGATCCATTGGACTCACTTATCAATGATAAATAAATCCAGGCTTGATGTTGAACCTCGTACCTCATTTGTGTCGTTTGAGTCACCACTTCTTACACAAACACAAGTACAAAAGCCGGTGTTAGTGTTTGATTCAATCATGATATTCACTTGCATCTCACTCATTTCTTGGTTGTTGTGACTTGAATAGATTTTATGCTTGAATGAATCAAAATAAACGCTTGTAACTAGGAAAATTTCCTATCCGTTCCTCTCTCCATGATCTAGTAATGAACAACAAAAATCCGAAAGCTCACTGCTGGAATTTCTAATCAGAATTAACAACATGATAGCAAAAATGAAGTGGTAGGTCTTGTGGTATATGAGAGCAAGAGTAACGGGACAATAGTCAGGATTACAAGAAGTGAGAAACTGGCTGCATACAAAGATGAACATAGCCACATGTCAGTGAGAATTTAAGGATGATTGAAGCTTTCAGCACAGGGAAATGAGAGAGAGAAAATGCTCATGAGTGGATTCGGACGCCCTCATTAGGTGATACTTCTTTAGCGTTTAGGTTGTAAGGCTTGAATCTTGCCATTTTCCAAGCAATTCCTTTTGCAATTGATTGATTACAAAAGACAAAAAATTACCACTTTTTGCACAGTGTTTGTTTGCTGTATCGGCAGGTAATGAGCAAGCTTTTTGACTTCAAGGATATCTAACTTGGTCTGATCGGTAACTTGATCTGCAGTAGTAAGTAGGCTAAAAGAAAAACTTGATTACATTTGATGGGTGATGAATCGCAAAGGCGACTCATAAAACGAATCTTGATCCGGTTTGACTTCAGCCTCAGGGACAACATATCTAGGCATCCATCTTTACAGACAGTATCAAGCAGGTTTGGTTATGTTTTGAGTACTGAACCAATTCTTATATTTTCTTATCAAGTGACCTGTGCCATCATACGGAGGGGAAAACAAAAAATGGATTAGAAACACCATTGGGTCCAAAGATAGTCAAGATTATAAGAAACTGACCAGTCTTTGGACCAACAAGGGCCGGTAAATTCCGGTATGACTTGGCAGCGGGTTATTCGTTCCATCAAGGTAAGTTGTATTCAAACTGCGCCGTTGTGTCAATTATCGATCCATTGACACTGTCGGTTGGTTGGTTTTGACGGTTTTCTTTGAGGGGGGAGGGAGCAGATTGGAGGCTGCTGTCAGCTGACCACCTCTGGCCTGTAGGCTGCTGTGGCCAAGTTGATTGCCAATGATGTCATCATGGCTTTGTGAGATAAGAATTGGATTAAAAATTTAAGCTTAAGTTGTGAAAATCCTGGAAGATCCTGCAAATCCGTCCAAGGATTCTTCAAAACACAATATGTAAGGCTTCGTTTGGCCGTCCATGATCGTCATAAACGATCATGGCAGATATTTCGGGGGTGCACAGCTAATGACGGGGCCTCACGATGGTGTTTGGGAGGCCACGTCATATCGAATCTCTTATAACGGAAATGGTCAACGAGATATATTCTCTGCCAAATCCAAGATTTTGGGTCCCCCCCAAAATTTTGCGTCATAAGTGCCGCTTCGGTGCTCTCATCACCCTCGGCTTTCCCTTACAACAACTCCATATCACCCCCCAGCTGCACACCACCCCCTCTGACCGGCACCATGCCCCCCCGTCCTCCTAAACCGCCGTTCCGATCATCCACTCCCGATGTGCACCAAACAGCCACATCGTTATTGATATGGATTTTCAGGCTGCGTCATCTGCACAGCCTGAAAGAATCAAACCTAAAATCTGATTTGACGATTTTCGATGACGGTCTATGACGATTGTGGACGGCCAAACGAAGCCTAAGTGTATGCTGGAAATCCTCGAGCTGTGACTCTTGTGATGATTTTCTTGTAAGCTGTCACAAGTCTAACCTCGAACCGGCGGTTAAAGTGTTCATGCTGTGACATCTGTGTGGCCCACCCCCCGGGGGATTCAGACAATTTCCTTCTCCAGAAATCAACAGCCTAGAACCAAACCCAACATAAGCCAACCCAACCCAAGCCACAGTCCCAACCAACAACAAACCACAAACAACAGGCTCACACATCATCAAAAGCAACTCACATATGAACACATAACCAACACCACCACCACCACCAAACATGACAACCAGCCATCCCAACCGATCACACCTAGAGATCGCCAACTCACTCAAAAAGCAACTAGTCACCTCACTCACTGCCTCAAACGAAAAGGTAAGAGCTACCAAAATCAAACAAATCGAAATAAGGCAGAATACTGATGATTCCTTCTTGTGTTTGAATTCAACTCGAAATATCAGGAGATTAAGGAATGTTTAGAACGGATCAAGAAAGAGGTCCATCCCAGTGAAGAACTCATTCGAGTTGAGTACCCCTTCCACGCTTGCTCATTTTTTTTTAAATTAAAAAAAAAAAGATTGCTGACATCGCGCCTGATGAATTTTTTTGATCAGGCTACAAAGATCGGGATCACCGTGGGAAAACAGAGACAAAACTCGAATCCAGAGATCGCCAAAATAGCTAAGTCGATCATCAACCAATGGAAGAGTCACATGAAGAAAGAACCCACTCCGTCTCAATCCTCTTCCTCCAAAAATGGCACGACTACCTCCGCCTCTTCGAATTCCAATCATAACCCCAAAAGTTCATCATCCTCCGATCGTAATCGAGCCAGAAAAAGAAAGAGCTGAATTCCGTTTTTTTTTTGTTATAGGTCCGAGTTTGTCGAGTTCTCAACATTCGAATATGAAGTCACCTCGCCCAGACCAAGCAGCGAAACTGACGAATCTGAGCACCACAACCAGTCCCGAGAAACCGACGACGACGACGACAACAACAACAACAACCGCGACGACGAGTGCGACTAATTCGAACAACCCTGCGACCGGGCCATCGGCAACAACTGTCGGCTCCTCGCAACCTAAGACGACCCCTCAATTCTCGCCCAACTCAAATGGCACTAAGATTAAAAGGAATGGGCCGAGAAGCTCGAAAACTGAGGACCCTAGCTTGAACTTCGAGCTCTACAAGGACGAGAAGGTCAGGAACGGGAGTCTGAAAGCGGTCTTTGATGCATTGATCTTCGACTCGGATGCCCGTCAGTGTACCCTCCCCCACATATCTCTCATATACACATGACTGATCCGATTGGTTACTCTCTTCGGAATAGCCGCCGATTTGATCTACGAGAGGGCTAAGGCTATCGAGACTGAGGTCAACAAAACCCACGACTCGAACGGCTATAAGATCAAAATGCGCTCCTTAATCTTCAATCTCCGAGACAAAAACAATCCTGGACTGCGCGAATCGGTTGTTTCTGGAGAGATCTCTGCCAGTCGATTATGTGTTATGGGTCCACAAGTTCAGCCCCTTCCTCTCTATTTACGATTTACAAGAAAGAAAATGTGATTGTTAATGATGATTCTGTTTTTTTTTGGGGGGGGGGGGATGCGATTGTGATACAAAATGATAGGACATGGCCAGTGAGGAAAGGAAAGCGCAAGACCGGAAGTTGGCCGAGGAGAACTTGTTCAAAGCCCGAGGGGCTGGGCCTCAACAAGCCGAAACCGATGCCTTCAGATGTGCACGTTGTGGACAGCGGAAATGCACCTACGTATGTCTCCTACCCCTCTTTGGTTTTCGGTTCTGGATGCTGACAACCTGACGGACTCGACGTGTAGTATCAAATGCAAACTCGGTCGGCGGATGAACCGATGACTGTCAGTCTCCCTCTCTTCCTCTCTTCTTTCAGGTCTTCTCAACTAACTCGTTCTTTTTTGCCCTCTTTTTAGACTTTCGTCACGTTGAGTTCACTTTCTATCATTCACATGCACATCTTCTTGAAGAGTCCCCTCGGTGAATAGAAATACTGATGCCCATCGATTTGACATATCTCCTCGTTGGTTGATCGGTCTACAACATCTTTCATACATGCAGTTGTGTTAATGTACGCTTTCGGATTTGCTTTTCGTCCATCTTCATCCCTTTGAGAAAATAGATTTGGAGTACTAACTACCTCCTTTTATTTTTATCCTTTTTGGAAATAGTGTAATTGTCGTTGGAAGGTCAGTTTTTTTTGGTTTTTTAGTTTCTCATCTCTTCAAGAACTCGTTCTTCACAACTTGTTTTTGCTTTGTACTGAAACAATTTCTTCTCTCTCCCTTTTGTCACATCATTTTTGCTTGACTTTTTTTTATCTCTCTCTCTCTACTCACCAACCATCCTATCCATACAATAATCAATTCTACTGTCATTACTATCCTTTTTTCCATGATGTGTCCCTTCTCTTCTTGTCTTTTGTCATTTTCCTTATCTTGTGTGGGATCTTGTTCTTGCTATTGTTTACACAATGGTGTGTTTTTGATGATCATTATTCCAGTTTTCTTGAACAACCCACATCCCTAGAAGTTAACAACCCCCCCTCCTCTGTGATCCACCAAAAAGAAAAAAAAAGAACTCTACCTTAATATGCATACATACATATATATAATTGAACAAGTTGTATATAGGTCCATGTTTTTGGATTAATGATTGGTTTTTTGTGTGTTTCCTGTTTTTGCTTTTTTTTGGTCTCACATCATGAGTTTGTTGATAATAATGATTAGTACATACATACATATAAATATATGGCTTGTGTTTGTGGAACTGGATTACTTATGGTGTTCAGAACTCCATAAGCAGTTGTCAATGTGAGTTTTAAGCAAATCCAAAAAGAAAATTACTTCAGCAATCTTGAATACTGTAACTATCATCCCCACATATGTGATAAGATATGTTGATCTTTATGAATTCCAGGAGGAGGCTGTGGGGTGTATGTGTGATCTTCCTCTTCTTTTTTTTTGAGATTGTTGTCCACTCACATACTTCTTGGGATTTGCTCTCTTTCCGATTCTGGATTGTTCATACAAATTGGGTTTGGTTGATGTGTGTGTTGAATGGATTGAGAAGTATCCATATTTGTTTCATTCTCATTTCATAAATAAAACAAAAAACTGCTGAAGAAGGAAAAGAATTGAATTCAATGGATGTAAACTTATGTACAAATTTTTAGTTAGTGGGTTTCATGTTGAAGCAAGAATCAGGTTTGGTCTGGGATGATCAGTTGCTTTTCATGAGTCACACTCACAGTGAACCTGCTTCTTGATAAACAATAGAAGAAACAGAAGTTGAATAGATCTGTTTTCTTTTTTTTTTTTTGTTGACCAATGACAGGAACTTGTGTAAAACTCATTCCTTTTAACTAAGATTTGTCTTCCTGGTGGATACACAAAGCCCCAGGTTCTATGAAATCTTCTGTATGTATTTATGGTATTCAAAGTTGAAATGCATGAGATCATAGAGTGCATAAATCATATAATCATAAAACATTTTGGCTGGGAAAGCCAAAGCTTACATAATCAGATTACCAAGATCCCCTGCCAACAAGGTTTTAAGATCTTATGATTTATGCGGTTATGATTTCATGCATTTCAACTTTGAATACCATAATTGAAGGTGAGCCATGAAGCTGAATCCAAGAAAGTTGAAGTATGGATCATGTTGGAGAAGATAAAAACATGTTCTTGAGTCATTTGGACAGAGTGGACACACTTTGCACCGGGTCAGTCAAAATTAATCCGGACAGGTCTAAATGTTAAAATCTAATTTGCAAGATAAGATACGGGCAGTTTACAGACGAAGCAACAAAAAAAGTTGGATCGACTAGACTATTATCATTGGCATAAATTGCTTCTATTACAATTTTCACTCTGGTCTTGTGGACTAGAAGGCGGTGGGCCCAATGATTTGGGACCAGTTGAATGTATTGTTATGCAGAATTTGTTTTCTTACAAATGTCCCTTCCAGTTTAGATAGCACACATCAGTGATCGGATCATGACAACGTCTATATCAACCACAATCCGAAGGGTTCATTTCTTATACATTTTCAGGATTCTGGTTTCGATATCATCCAACTGTAGATTGACGATTGGATCACAGAGGTATTGATGATCGACCAGCTTGAGGTTTTCGACCTCTGTTTGGTAGAGTTTCTTGTAGTCCATCTGTTGTCCTGGCATCACTGCCGCCATATTTGATGCCCCTCCCATCGCTAACGAAGCCGTACCATCGGCAGCTAAGGAAAAATGAAAAACCCCCACATGAGCTTTTGAAAAAAGGTCACAGAATAAGGAAAAAAAGGCGTAATATACCTAACCGTTTCCGTCTCCTAAGATCAGTCTGTATAGAGGGTTGAGCCCAAACAGGTTAAGAAATTACCAAGATAGTGATGATACCCAACTGATGTCCATCTCACGGGTTTCTATTCCTCTGTGAAGCATCTGCTTGAATCCATTGGGTAGTGGGAAAGGCAATTTGACTTTTGCAAATCACAAGACCAGTAAACTCATGATCAGCCTAACCGATCATTGACTTCTCCCATATAGTACTGAAAAAAAAGATCCCGCTCATGAACCTCTTTCCGGATCGAAAAGAAAAACTCCGTACTTTTGACCCAGTTCTTTGAAGACTGGTTGATATTATAAATAAACCCAATCGTACTCCAGTACAACCTTGCCTGAAATATTGGGTTTGGAGAATCTTCATTGAATCCGATCATGATCAATTCATCACCTGGATGTTGCAATCTCTCTCCCCGCCCTTTTTGGCTCTTAGTTGAACCAAATGTCATTGAGAAAAAGCAATAGTGAATATCCTTGCGAATCTACCCACACTCTTATATAGGCTGAATTATGTGAACATAATGGCTGCTGAATATATCGTGTCATTTCTGGTGACTTGACATGGTGGAGCTGGTCCTCTTACCTCGGGTTAAAGGTTGCGCTTGATTGGGAATGGAAGGGGTTTTTGTAGTCAAACCATCTCCAGTTGTCCCACTGGACCCTGGTTGACTTGTACAAAGCCTGCTCATCCTTGGACAACCCCTTTGTTCAGTTACCTTGATCATCTGTCCTGTGTTCAAAACTCCACCACATACCCAAGTCAAGGTTCATACATGCGGTTCTTGCCTTTGCTAGCTCTGTCTGGTCTCATTGGCTTGATCCACATCTCATCTGTCTGGTCCTGGTTCGGCAGGCCTGCAACACTCACTCGAAACAGACGGCCTCTCCTTCCCAAAAGCGACACGACCCACTGTTCACTATGTGCAGCAAAGCCCTGTCCCCCTGGCTACACGCATGTGACATGGACCGACAAAGGCCCAGAATTGGAAGACTGGGGAGGCAGAAGGATCCCATGCCCTAATCCACCAGGACAACAGTGCACCAATCATAGGTCACAGGGGAAGGTCTGCCCAGTTTGCACTGGTGACACTGCTGTGTCTGTCTGTGGAACAGCTCCTGCCTGAACTAAACAAAAGCACAAAAAAATGAAAATGAAAAAAAAAACAAGTAAACATCTGAAGAAAGAAAGGCCAGACACAGACCCCCTAAGGGTTAACACATGTTCCAATAGCTTGTCCAGAGGAACTCGCACCCAGAAAAATCTTTTTCACCTGCTTTAGAGATTGTTTGCCGTTACCTGCCACTAGCTGGTACCTTAGTCTACAACGATGAAACGATGCGATACGATGCGATAAATCGCCCTGTATCGGTATCGCATCGTTTTAGCGATACACGCTTAAGCGATACCGATGCGATGCATGTATTTATCGCCCGTATCGGACGCATCGGGTCAAAAGAGCATGATTTTAAAAAAAAAGAAGGATGGAAAAAATAAAAAAAAAGAATACTAATGGAAAATTAAGAAAAAAAATGACCATCAAAATAAAAAAAATAGGAAACAAGTAAATTAAAAAAGCGGAACAAGTAAATGGAAAATTAAGAAAAAAAATGAGCATCAAAATAAAAAAAATAGGAAACAAGTAAATAAAAAAAAGGGGAACAAGTAAATGGAAAATTAAGAAAAAAATTGAGCATCAAAATAAAAAAAATAGGAAACAAGTAAATAAAAAAAGGGGAACAAGTAAATGGAAAATTGGAAACTCAATGAAAAATGGCCATCTTAATTAAAAAAGCAAATGGAATGGAAATAAGTAAAAAAAAATAGACTGGAAAATTAAGAGAAATTGAGCATCTTAATTAAAAAAGGGCCTTAATAAAAAAAACGCGGTTTTTCCGCGTTTTGACGCTGTTTTGATGCGCCGCAGCACACGCGGTTTCCGCTTTTAGACGCGGTTTTTTAATTAATTTTTTACGGCTTATTTTTCGAGTTTTTTCAAACTTTTAAAATTTATTCCTACACTATGAAAGGTGTAGAATTTAATGGTAAAAACCATTTTTCATAAAAATGAATTTTGATTATTAATTATTTTTTTTCACTCATTTCTCAATTAATTGTTTGCATACATGTATGTACCTTATTTTTTATGCTTTTGTGAAATTTTAAAATTATTTCCTAGGTTTCAATGTGTGTAGAATTTAATGGTGCAATCGAATTTTTCTAAAACTTAACGGTTCATTTTTAATACTGAAATTAGACCCATTTTTTCACTTAATTTTTTACAGCTTAATTCTCATCATTTTTTGACATTTTAAATTTATTTCCCACACTTTAAGACATGTAGAAAATGATGGTAACAACGATTTTTCCCCAAAATGAAAACTATACCTTGAATGCCGCATTTGACACGTTTTTTTTTAATTAATTCATCACTTTTTCACTTAATTGTTTGCATACATGTGTGTACCTTATTTTCTATGCTTTTTTGAAATTTTAAAGTTTTTTCCTACATTTAAAAGTGTTTAGAATTTAATGGTAACATTCAATTCCCATAAAACTCAACGGTTCATTCTGGATACTGTAATTAGTCATATTTTTCAATTGATTTTTAAGAGCTTAATTTTCATTATTTTTTGACATTTTAAATTTGTTTCCCACACTTTAATACATGATACAAATGATGGTAACAACCATTTTACATAAAAATCAGCGCTTGTTACTGAATACTGCAGTGGACAGGCTTTTTTTAATGTTTTTTTGATTGATTTTTACCGGCCTGATTTTAAGCATTTTTTTATTTTAAATTTATTTCCTACATTTAAAAATGTTTAGAATTGAATGGTGAAGTCCAATTTCACTCAAAATACAAGCTTCAATCTTAATAGATGAGCGTACCCTGTTTCTTGCATAATTTGTACCATATACAAATTTTATTTGAATGCAAAATGGATACAGCCATCAATTCTGAAACCTTTAAAAGTGTAGGAAATGAGCTTGAAATTCCAAAAAATAAGGATAATTGAGCGTGTAAGAATTAATCAGGAAACACGCCAAAGGCATTATTCAAGATATAGTTTTCATTTTGATGAAAAATTCATTGTTGCCATAATTTTATACATGTTTGAAAGTGTAGGAAACAAATTTAAAATGTCAAAAAATAATGAAAATTAAGCTCTTAAAAATCAATTGAAAAATATGACTAATTACAGTATCCAGAATGAACCGTTGAGTTTTATGGGAATTGAATGTTACCATTAAATTCTAAACACTTTTAAATGTAGGAAAAAACTTTAAAATTTCAAAAAAGCATAGAAAATAAGGTACACACATGTATGCAAACAATTAAGTGAAAAAGTGATGAATTAATTAAAAAAAACGTGTCAAATGCGGCATTCAAGGTATAGTTTTCATTTTGGGGAAAAATCGTTGTTACCATCATTTTCTACATGTCTTAAAGTGTGGGAAATAAATTTAAAATGTCAAAAAATGATGAGAATTAAGCTGTAAAAAATTAAGTGAAAAAATGGGTCTAATTTCAGTATTAAAAATGAACCGTTAAGTTTTAGAAAAATTCGATTGCACCATTAAATTCTACACACATTGAAACCTAGGAAATAATTTTAAAATTTCACAAAAGCATAAAAAATAAGGTACATACATGTATGCAAACAATTAATTGAGAAATGAGTGAAAAAAAATAATTAATAATCAAAATTCATTTTGATGAAAAATGGTTTTTACCATTAAATTCTACGCCTTTTATATTGTAGGAAACAACTTTAAAAATTCAAAAAAACTCAAAAAATAACCCATAAAAAATTAATTAAAAAACCGCGTCTAAAAGCGGAAACCGCGTGTGCTGCGGCGCATCAAAACCGCGTCAAAACGCGGAAAAACCGCGTTTTTTTATTAAGGCCCTTAAAAAAAAATTGGAAACATATAAAAAATAAAGGAAAATGAAGAAAAATTAAGCATATTAATTAGAAAAAATAGGGAAAATGTTAACAAAAAAATAATGGGAAATTAAGAAAAAATTGGCACATACTATGAGCCAATAGGAAAAGAGGAAGGAAAAGAGGTCAACATAAAATAATCATAGTATAATGAGCTATGACTGGCAAAAAAAATTAATATAAGAATAAGCAGAAATAATTAAGAATTTGGCATCTTAATTAAACTTTCATATGAATAGAAAGAATTAAAAGTAGTAAAAATGGAAACAAAAAGTTTTTTTTTAGAAATAATTAAGAAAATTCACACATAGAGGAAAACAAGTGATGAATACCTAAAAAATTTCCCAAAGACATAATCATCTGGGTGTTTGGTCCTTGTTTCGCCTTGCTTTCTCAGCCATTGCCTGGGATACTACCTTTTGCACAAGTTCAAACTCGCCATCGGGTTTAATTCCTTGGACAAGCCATTGATGAGAGCTGACACTCCGCTCAATGGTTCGAACGCCCAAGCGGTGTAGGACTCCTGGGACGGATAGACACGGTAAAGTATATGTATATCAAAAGATCCCTTGAGGGGGAAATAAATTGCAAATAGGTTGAAAGGCTATTACAACTTACGGGTGGTTTGAAAGACCTGCCCCTCTAATTGTACTAAACAAATAACTAAGAGTCTTGTAATCAATATTTAAGAATATGCGGCTGATTCCAAGATAGATCTTACTTTTGTAAAGTAATCTCTATCAGACCTAGATCACGTATCAATCTACTAGTGAATCTGTTACAACTTCAGGTTAATAATGGAAACTGTGGCGCTTATGGTTGAACGCAAGACAGTTGAATTTGTTATTTAGAGTTTGTTAATGATCTCTTCCCTGAACAATTTCTTGCTAAGGCACTTTAATCACAACTAGAGCTCTGGTGTCACTACTACTACTATTTGTTATTTGTTATTTGTTAATAATACTACTTAAGTTCACTTTGTTATAGTTCAATGGTTCTGGTTCTACTACTTATAAATCTCTGACTTTACTTAACTAATTCTGACAATCACACATACGTGACTAACTAATTGTGACCAACTTACTCCTGTAGGCTGAT